AATATCCAGGCCATTACGGCATGCTATGATTATAGTCTTTTATTACAAGGATAAATGGTACATGTACACGCAGACAAACGAAAAATGGGCGCTCGGCGTAACGAGTTTTACTTTTCTGAAAACTGTTGAGGAATGAAAAATTAACGCAAGAATTTACCATTTGAATTCAAAAAATCTTTCATAGCGTAATGCACGTTTGGAAAACAAAACTTTCTAGGCAAGGAGTTGCTGATTTTAATACGCAGCAAGTTGTAACTAACATAATTATTCTAACATAGATAATACTACAGAGTGGTGACAATATAAATTTTAATGAAATACAGTATTTGTTTATCCTTTAATAAACATGTTTATAAAATAGAGGTCTAAATTAAAAGTTTCTCCGCATCATTTTAAAGATTTCAATCAATTAGAAAAAATAGTTAAAGATTATTTCCTGGCGATTTATTTTAATGTAGCAATAAATATAATTAATAATAACAACATTAAAGAATAATAAGCACTGTTTAACAGTTTTTCATTTTTTTTTTTGCCACGCAAAAAAAAAATGACAACATGCACGCACGGTACCGAACAATATCGATTTTTAGCGTAAATGTTACATTACTGTAGCAACATCACAATATGGCGGCGTTGGTACACAAACGAGACGGTGAAATGAAACTAACGTGGTTTACTTTCTTCTAAGTTGATAGTCTAGCACTTTTTGTGCTGTTGATTCCTTAAAATTGTATTGTTGAATAGATTCTTAGTTTAAATTGTCTGCATTTTTACATTAACATCGAAATCCACGTTTCACCACAGAAAGGTCTCCTTTTGGTTTTGACGTTAAAGCGAGATTCTGCCCCAGAACGAAAATATCTCAGAATCAAGCTTTGGCACGTCAATATATTTTGACTAGGAAAATGGATAACTTGGAAGCTTGCTGAAGGAAAGCTGGGTTGTTTTACTTATTTTACGAGTGATGGCTGTCAATGCTTTTCAATTTTTCATAAAGCATACGGCAGTTATTGCTCGTAGGATACTTTAATATGCCCAAATGTCATCAAGAGCAGTTTTGCATGGGGAAGGAATGTATTTTTCAGACTGTAAAAACGAAACAAAAAAAAATTTAGAGACGAAATTTGGTGATTGGAATTTGAAGGAATAGAAGTAAGTTTTCTCTCTGTGTTACTTTTGACATTCAAGTTATTTATCTATTTCAGCTTTGCTATTTCTTTTAACAGCCTGACATTGTCAGAATTGTCCGTAAAAATAAAATTGAGGTACCACATGGGGAAAATCTTAAAAAAGTAGTTTCGTCATTGAAAAAAGTGAAATTATATTTTGATTATTTTCACTGTGAAATTATCAAATATAATTTTCACGGATAAATCAGTAATCCACTGAAAAGCATAAAATAAACTCACAGATTTGGAAACAAAAATAATTATTATAATACTAGATACTAGATAATACTTCTAATAACAAATAGTAATCATTATATTAATTAATGATAAAGTAATTTCATAGAAAACCCTCTGGCAAATAGGTGATCAATAAAACAATAACCCATCTGGCAGCGAAAGGGTTAATAATATAGCTATGAAATTGAATTTGTTATATGTAAATCTGTTCGCTATAAAAACTCCTGATGCAAGGAACTAATTCCCTATAATTATTCTGACAGGGAACTCAGGATATATTAAGAACAGATTTTGAATGTCCTAATGACTTCGTTATCATAGCGGAGTTTACTGTAGTTGCTCAAATCAAATTCTGACAACTAATTGCTTTAAGTGTCATGCTCATTTTTTCACTTTCAAGCCGCGAAAAATTAGTTGTATATTTCAAAAGATTGACTTTTTTTAGAAGCATATAAATATAAAAGTACTGTCCCACTCTTTTTTTTGTGTCACCTTGAAAAAGGCGACATATAGGGGTAATATTTGCTTGTGGTGTCGTCCTTGTTGTCATCGTCCCCTTAAGCTTGTCCGGAGCACAAGTCAGTCATTATAAGTCGGATTGACTTCAAACTTGGTATGCATGCTTCTTATTATGACCCGAAGTGCAGTGCACAAGAACCAGTATGATGCATTTCTTTCTTTTTTTTGAGTTATTGCCCTTTGTTTATTTTCATACTTTATTTTTGTCCAGGCCATTTATCCTAAAGTATTAAAGCTATGGACTTGAAACTTCAAAGGATGATAGATCACATTAAGAAGAAGTGCAGTGCTCAAGAACCGGTACTCTGCATTTCTTATTTTTTGAGTTATTATCCTTTGTTTATTTTCATATTTCAATTTTGTCCTGGCCATTTCTCCTAAACTATATTGTTCACAAGGCGATACATCTGACTATGTGGGTGACAGGGGTTACTAACTACTCAGGGGACGTTTGTTATAAAATTGAAAACAAATATGACAAAATGTAAAGCTATTTTGAACTTTACATTAATATTCACCATTGACTCTTAGATATCACTTTTAGGGTTGAAAACAAAGTCTTTTTTAAAAATTGCATCATTATTAGAATGCATTGAAATATGACAATGCTTATAAACAGCCAGGCCCATTTAATCCATACCACTACAGTTACTGAGAAATTATTATTTGACTCTTTAGGTTCTCCTGTAAAAATGCCAGAGTGGACAAAAGCTCTCCTTTTAAAATGCCAGAGTGGACAAAAGCTCTCCTGTAAAAATGCCAGAGTGGACAAAAGCTCTCCTTTAAAAATGCCAGAGTGGACAAAAGCTCTCCTTTAAAAATGCCAGAGTGGACAAAAGCTCTCCTGTAAAAATGCCAGGGTGGTGTCAAAAGCTCTCCTGCAAAAATGCCAGAGTGGACAAAAGCTCTCCTATAAAAATGCCAGAGTGGAAAGAAGCTCCCTGATAACAAAAAAACATATATAACAATACAGTCACAATGTAGTAATTTTGTCTTGTCTCTGCTAAATACTTAGAATGGAACCAATATCATATAGAGAATAAAGAAGATACATAGATGCTGATCAAATTTGATCAATCTTACAGTACAAAATAATATATAAAGAAACAAGCAAGGTTATATGCATATGTAAAATTTCTGTGAAGAAATGGTCATCTATACACTGAGCTACCTTTAGAAATGTCTGTTAGATCTGCACAGTTGTGAAAATTTACATTATAGGGAAAGCATTATGGCATAAAAATTCCATTACGTCCATATATAAGTTTTATATCACGACATAACCTCTGACACTAAGAGCCTTAATTATATATACCCAGTGCCGACACGCTTGTAAAGGTTTATCCTAACACCTTGGTCATTAGTTAATTATGTCCTGATTAAATGATATATTAACTTTTAATAAGCAAAGGATTAACATTAAAGCCGTAATTTTACCATAAACATATCTGATAAGACTTTAAAGGCATCAAATCTAACCAAAATTAAAACAAAGCACACGTGTGACCTCGGTTTACTATATATAAAAGGTGGCTATTGAAGTTTTGGAAGCCAGAACAATGTCCGAACAGCACTTAATAATCCCAATCATCTTAGAGGAAAAATACAAATCTTTTATAAGATATACCTTGTATATTTATTTGAATTTCTTCAAAACGAACTTGTTTCTAGTTTCCAAAGGTAACCACAATGGATAGATTAAAAAACTTAGAGGTTTTATGACAATGTTTACACTGATATGTTTTGTCCAATGGAAAACAGTTCCCCTTTAGATGGAGACAATATGTTTACGTACGATTAATTACTTTTAGCCTGGTAAATTACTCTCAATACATGAAATCAGACAGCTGTATGGCCCATCATTTGTGCACATTGTCAGCGCCATTGTCTTTCCTTATGAAGAAAATATTTATAAAAAGTGCAACAAAGCAAGAGATTTAAAATGAGTCCTGAATTGTAAAGCTTATGTATGTGAATGTTTTTATGTTCATGTATTTTCATTGATGACTTAGAAAATAAATTGTGTCATTCCGCAAGTTAATCATGTGTCTTATACAAAATCATATAAAACTCAGCTTGAGGTCAGTTTTGATAATTCATAAAACAAAACAAAAAAAAAGAGTAAAATGATGTTGATATTGTTTGAATTTATTGAAAATTTCACATGTGTAAAAGAGTACTCTTTCCAGAAAACACAAGGGCCCAATTACAGTTAGTGTGATCATGTCCAAAAATTGTTCATAATGCCTCTGGCTATTTTAATAACATTTTTTTTTTTTTGGATGAGATCAATAAAGTTTTATATAATGTGACAATGAATATGAGATTCTTTTTTTATCACATGACTAAACACATGATTTCATGTAAAAAAACTTATTTTAATGTTTTATGTGTGCTTTTTTTACAATAATGTTATATTACTGGTTTGTAATATAAAGAAATACTGTAATATTTATGTTACATTGGAAAAAAGCTTTGTCATATTATAAATATTGGCAACATCACTAATTCTGCATCATCACTTATTTTACAGGAATGGCATACATTGTATTTTGATATGACTAGTGTTAACATTGGTCAAAATTGACATATTTTAGTCATTCACCTGAGCAATAAAGATTATGTGCAAAATATTTTAAATCTCTACTTGAGACTTTTTCATAAAACAGATCAACATTTTACAAATGTCCGCAAAAAGTCATAATAGTCTGTTTAAATGTATGCATGCTCCTGTTTGTCAAAAAAATAATATAATATTGAAAATTGAGCAATATAACATTTATAGTAATTTTAACCGCAAAAGTAAAAGTGTAACACCATTTACCATAATTTTAATGATGACATCATAAGTGTTTTCAAAATGGTTGACCTCATATAGGTGGCCAAGTACTGTGAACTAAGAGGAGCACAGTATATATTGAAAATAAATACATGCGGATTGGTTTGTGTCGGCCTAGGTAAAATAAGAAATGTGTGGGTTTATGTCCCTGTATGTAGTACCACTGAGTGGGCTTTTGTCAGGTGGTGTTTTGTTAGTCTATATTAAATAGATCTTCAATTATTTTCTATTTTCAGGAGCTAATGTTCTATTGTGCAGGAGATGTACAGGCAACTTACAAAGTCTTCCGGGTTCTTTGGCCACAGTTTAATGAAAGGTATTACTATAGTAACCTTTTACTTACAGGATATAGATATGATTATCCTTTGCCACTGATATAGAGCCAGGCAGCCTGCACATCTGTACAGTCTGACCTGATGGTCTATACTGTTGGCTGTTCAAGTTTTGAATTTTGATACTGAAAACGAATAATTTCTTAACAAACTGTTCCAAAATCACAGCAAGCCAAAATAATTCTGCAGGTAAAGCGTAAGTCCTCCTTAAAAGTGAAAAAGATCATTAGTATTAAATGTCATTTCTTGTTCATTCCATAACATCCCGGATGTCCGGGACTGTTCCTGAAATCAGGTGACTGTACCGGAGATGATTTATGTAACGGTAAAATTAAGCTCCTTTGCAATGAGAAATATTACATTTTTAAGCAATTTTATTGTCAAGTTATTATTAACTATTCCAAATTGCTTATAAGGGAACGATTATCCAACCGTCCCCAACCCCCTGACCCCCACCCCACAACCCAATGAAAACTGACCCAGTAAAAAGCTTATAAGTTATGGCATGTATGCATTTTTAATTCATTTTCTTTTGTTTGCTGGGTTATGCAAGCATTGATTTTGTCCCAGTTTTTGACTATAAGTTTTATGTCATTGGTGAGAATATTCTTTCTATTAATACTGAGAAGGTGTGAAATACAAGTCTTTGTTTCCGTCACGAAAGTTTCATTTTGTTGTTACCGGTAATTAAGTTTTCTATGCTATATGAGAATGTGTGCTAGCCATCTCATTTTAAATAGTGTGAACATAAACTATCAAATAATCTGCAAAAGCAAAACTGTTGCCATGGTAACCAATACATTTCATAAGAGTTTCATAATCAGTTTGAATTCAAGTATGAAATATTATTTTGAAGAAAAAAATGGAATTTCAAAGATTTTTTTTTTTCATTTTTGAGGAAATAGTAAATATTATATCTAATGACATGTCTTTGCAGTATTGGCCAAACTTAATTAGATTTTTATATGATAAATTAGACATGTATCCGTTATTCAGCATTAATAATCAAGAGTATATTGTGATCTTTAAGATATTTTTACCCACTTCATTCATTAGTCTATAGAGATGTACAGCTTTCTAAATCAATTTTCTTTTGCTCCCGAATGGTGGCATACTGATTTTTGAATTGTATTGCCATCTGTCTGTTTGTTTGTTTAATTATCCTATGTGGACGGGAATAAATTTATTTCCTTAAATTTGGACATTTTCTATTACTCAGTTGTTAGCTCCAAATTTTAAATATTGTCAAAAACCTACTTGTTTACTATGCATTCATTTCTTTTTGAGTAAACCTTTTGTATTGGTTTCATTTCTAATAGTTACCATAAATATTTACTTTTGGAATGCACTTCTAAAGGGCAGATAACCCTGAAAGTCATTTAAACTTAATAATCTCCAGTTTTATTTAGAATATTTTCCTTATTTTTTGAAAAACCATTACCAATATTTATTTCAGACTTGAAATACTTCTTTTAACTATCACTGGCAGTACCGTACATGTAATTCTGCCACTTTTAGCTTTTTAACAGATTCATGGCCCCTTTACTGCTTTGTTTTTATCATACTTATTCAGCACTTGCAAAAGTGGAATGTGTTGTTTGCAGACAGATCTTTATGTTTATTTTGGTCTCCTGCCTTTGGTTTTGCAAGCTTTGCTTTTCAATGCACCACAATTTTTTGTGGTGACTTGGTTGATGTTAAGATGTTTTAAGCCAGTTGTTCTTGTTTTTTCTTGTAAATCATTTATGAAAACCAACATTTTCTTGCAGGAAAAATAAATTTGTACTGAATACTACTCATACAAAACTATTTTAAAATTTTGGACAAAAACCTTAAAACTGATGCTTAACATGATAAAGCAATACTTTCTACTTTAATAACAGCCCGATGAATTTCTTAAATGTACTTTACAAGTTTCTGTTTTGGAACCATCCAATTTATCAACTGTCAGGATATGAAAAGGAATTATTTGAAGATGGTCAGCCAACAGTATAGAGCTTGGTCAGACTGCACAGACATGCAAGCTGGTCTGGCTCTATACTGGTGGATAAGCTATTAATATATGTCCAACAGGGCAAGGATTAACCTTCTACCTCATATAGAAGTGTTTTGACGGCTTTTTGACCCTCCCCCCATTTTTGAGGTCTCAAACAGTGAAAAAAATCTCCTATTCAGGCCCAAACACTGTTTTCCGTTTTAGAAATCTTATAAAAAAAGTGATCACTTTTTCGGCGCTGCCCCCCCCCCCCCCATCAAAATGGTACACAAAGGGATGCCAGAAGCATACATGTGAACTCTCCCACTTTTAGTGGGAGACTCCCACTTTCTGCAGTCATATTTTCGAAGACTTTTCTTAAAATAAGGGCTATTTTCACAAATTAATGAAATCTACCTATTTTTTTATGTCAAACTTCCTTCTTTGTTTATTGCAAATTCTAAAATTTCCCTCTTTTTGAAGAAAAATCTCCCACTTGATCATCGAAAAAAGTTCACATGTATGCAGAAGGGGGCACATCCCCCTTCTGTTTGGGGGTTTGAAGGGGGCGGCAGTCCCCCTCATCGCCAAGAAAATTTTGGACATGTGACAGGCTAAAAATGGCCTCAGATCTATCTTAGGGTAACTAGTAACCAACGTTGAAAAGCCTTTTACTCTATTTCAATCCATTGAGAGGTTGTAGCACTTTGAAATCAGTTTTGATGGGAAAAAAAAACAATGCAAAATAGTGATTTTTCGCAATTTTGAGACATCCTCCCCATTGCCATGGTAACAGGAAATTTAAGATTGAGCATGCTGTTACAGAGGCTATGGTCCAGTCAACATTTGTGCCAAGTTTCATCAGTATTGAAGCAATTTTTTTTAGCTCGACTTTTCTATGAAAAGGGGAGCTATCCTACTCGCCCCGGCGTCGGCGTTAGCGTTGGCGTCACACCTTGGTTAAGTTTTTTCGTACCACCCCACTTTTTTCAGAAGTATTACAAGTATGGCTTTGAAACTTACCATACTTGTTCACCATCATAACCTCCATCTACAGACAAGAGTACATAACTCTGTCAAGTTTTTGACAGAATTATGGCCCTTTTTTGACTTAGAAAGTGTATTGAGCTTGGTTAAGTTTTTTTGTACCCACCTCACTTTATTTCTAAAACCATTGGAGGGTATTGCTTTTGAACTGACCATACTTGTTTACCATCACGACCTTCATCAACAGACAAGAGGACATAACTCTGTCAAGGTTTTTGACAGAATTATGCCCCTTTTTGACTTAGAAAAAAATACATTGAATATGGGTAAAATCCACTTTATTGCCTTTAACCCTTTTGAGAATATTGCTTTTGAAACTTTTTAATGCTATTTCACATCATTACCCCATTCTGGTACGCAAGAGAAGGTAACTCTGTCAAGGATTTTTTTTTAAAAATTAAGGCCTTTTTATCGACTTAGAATCTTGGTTTAAGTTTTTAGTACCAGTCCCACTTTTTGACTGAACTGTTTGAGATATTAATTTGAAAGTTGGAATACTTGTTTACAATCATGGATTCCAAACATGTCCAGGAGAAGGTAATTCTGTCAAAGAATTTTATTTGAATTATGGCCCTTAACTGTCAATGTTTTGTATTATAGGCAATCACTAAAAAAGTCGAGCGCGCTGTCTTACGGACAGCTCTTGTTAGCTCACCTGGCACAAAGTGACAGGGTGAGCTTTTGTGATCGCTTTTGTCCGTCGTCCGTCCGTCGTCCGTCCGTAAACTTTTGCTTCAAATGACATCTCATAAACCACTAAGCCAATTTCATCCAAACTTCACAGGAATGTTCCTTTGGTGGTCACCTTTAAAAAATTATTCAAAAGAATTTAATTCCATGCAGAACTCTGGTTGCCATGGCAACCGAAAGAAAAAACTTTAAATATCTTCTTTTAAAGAACCAAAGAGCTAGAGCTTAGATATTTGGCATGAAAACATCTTCTAATAAGTGTCTACCAAGTTTGTTCAAATAAAAGCCCTGGGGTCAAAATTGGCCCCGCCCCAGGGGGTCATTGATTTTCCCTATATGCATATAGTAAAAACTTATAAAATCTTCTTTTAAAGAACCCAAAGAGCTAGAGCTAAGATATTAAGCATGAAACAATTTTCTAGTGAGTGTCTACAAGTTTGTTCAAAATTAAAGCCCTGGGGTCAAAGTTTGCCCCGCCCCGGGGATCATTGATTTCCTTATATGTGTTATAGCAAAAACTTTAAAAAATCTTTCTTTGAAAAAACCCAAATAGCTAGAGTTAGATATTAAGCATGAAACATCTTCTAATAAGTGTCTACAAAGTTTGTTCAAATAAAAGCCCTTGGGGTCAAAACTGGGCCCGCCCAGGGGTGTCATTGATTTTTAACTATATGTGTATAGTAAAAACTTAAAAAATCTTCTTTAAAAAAACCCAATGAGCTACGAGCTTAGATGTTTAGCATGAAAACCATCTACTTATGGGTGTCCTACCAAGTTTGTTCAAAAAAAGCCCTTGGGTTAAAATTAACTCTGCGGGCGGGGGGGGGGGGGAGAAGGTCATTGTTTTTTTCCTTATATGTGTATAGCAAAAACTTACCATCATAAAACATCTTCTAATGGGTGTCTTAATTCCAAGTTTGTTCAAATAAAATCCCTGGGGTTTAAACTGGCCCCGCTTCGGGGGCCTATATACAGGTGAGCGACCTCAGGGCCATCATGGCCCTCTTGTTTCATAGTTTCATAGCAGTTTGAACTTGTAACAGGAGGCTTTTCAATGAAGATGGCAATTTTTCACAATATGCTCATGCGGTAAAAGGTTAAAGCTCTTTGGATCAGAATTTTTTAAACAGGTATTTGATGAATTTCAGATTTCCTCATCCGGTGACATTGTCTGGTATGTTAGAGATGGCGACTGGTTATCTGCCAGTTAACCAGAACTGGGAACGTTATATACACCAGTCTAATGCTGTGTACGAGGACATGGAACGGGAGACAAAACAACTTCTCATGAGGCTAGCAAATGATGCTTGTGAAAAAGCAAATGATGAAAGGTAATGTATTTAGTTTGATTCTAAGGGCTCAGTCATGCTTGGTTTATATCTATTAAGTATGAGTCTGAAACTTGGTGTACTTGCTTATCATGACAAGAAGCAGTCGTCTGTAACTTTAACATTGGCCATTATTGTTACCTACTTTTTTATTGCTTTAATTTTCTGATCTTGAAAGACATCATTTTGCAAAAACCAGTTGGATAACAAAAGATCTTAAGAGGTGATGTTCCACTTTCCTTACTTGAATAAAAGAGTAAAGATTGCCATGTTAAACATAGTGTTTAATGACCAATCCTAAGTCATACTTACTCAGCATCAATCTGGTTTTGTAACAAACACAAAAAAAATTCCTTGAAGTGTTCATTCCCTCACCGTACTCTCAACTTTTAATTCTCACATTTTATTGTTACCACACGAAATAAAACATCTTTTTTTCACAGCTTTTTGTTACGAAATATAACACAGACTGTAACTCTGTACAGTCATAACACCTCTCTGTTGGAAATTTTTCTACATAATAAATTAAATACGTGTAACAGGTCATGTTAAAGGTATTTTATTTGATACCTTAATAAGTGTAAAACACAAATGAACAAAGACCTATACTCAAGTTACATGTACAAAATAGATTTTTTGTCTCCTCCAGTTCAATGAATCTTGTTTCAGGTGGGGCAAAAAATAAAGACTATCTAATGTTTATGTTAATGAGTTTATTTATCTCATTTTAGAGCCCAGATCCCAGATCCAGGGATGAATGTTGAGACAGAAATATAGACCTTGTATCTGTATGTCCATCTGTCTGACTGATCTGTCAGTTTTGTATGCCCATCTGCATGTTATCCCTGTCCATGCATGTTAATTCTACCCATTAGCATGTTAATTCTACCCATTAGCATGTTAATTCTGCCCATCTGTATGTTAGATTTACTTTTAGAATCAATGACCTTGACCCTATTGACCAAAATCCTTATTCAAGTGTAAAAGTCTATGTGTAAAAACCAGTTATCCATGATATAGGTAAAATAAATATGAAAAAGGCAGAGTAGAAGGCAAGCCATGAATAAGAACACTGCTGTCTGAGACAGTTTTTTCATGGAATAAAAAAAGAATATGATGATTAATCCTACAACAAAATCCTGGAAAATTGAATTACAGGAAGCCACTTCTATAATCATACAACAGAACCGTCATGTTTATTATTTTATTCTAATTTTTCAGCTATAAAAAAGACCCCTGGTTATGGAACCTAGACTGGACTATGAAAGAGTTCAAAATAAAGAGCAAAAAGAAAGAGCCGAAAAAGGTGAGGAGGCATGTTCTTAGTTTGTATCTTTATAATAACATATGCTAAGCATTGACTGACAGGTTTATTGTGTACAATAAGATATGGTATTATGCTAAGCATTGACTGACAGGTTTAGTGTTCAGAATAAGATATGGTATTATGCTAAGCATTGACTGACAGGTTTATTGTTCAGAATAAGATATGGTATAATGCTAAGCATTTACTGACAGGTTTATTGTTCAGAATAAGATATGGTATTATGCTAAGCATTGACTGACAGGTTTATTGTGTACAATAAGATATGGTATTATGCTTAGCATTGACTGACAGGTTTATTGTTCAGAATAAGATATGTTAAATATTATGCTAAGCTTTAGCTGACAGGTTTATTGTTCAGAAAAAAGCTATGTTATACTAAGCATTTACTGATAGGTTTATTGTTCAGTGTTATGTTAAGCTTTATCTGGCAGGTTTATTGTTCAGAAAAAAAGATATGTTACACTAAGCTTTGGCTGACAGAATGTATTGTGTAAAATAAAATATATGGTATGCTTAGCTTTAGATATTTATGCTTTATGCTTATTTAAGTTATTATTATCCAGACTGAGGTATATTGTTAAGAATTAGGTATGCTATATTCTAAACTTGATTTTCCAGAATAGTATATGCTCTGTGCTTAGCTATAGTTGACAATTTTATTTGATAAAAACAGCTGTACAATATCACTATTAGACTTGCATAAGGCTGTCCTACAGGCATCAGCTCTAGCATAACACTTCACTTTAAGTTATGTGTGCAACTTCTTGTACAATTTCATATCTCAACTAAGACAGATATTTGCTTAAAAATATACCATTATTGAAGATTATCGTTAATGTAAAAAAATAAAGAGTTGTCCAGACAGTTTTCATCATACTAAGGGAAAAACAGACAACAAATTCATGATGTCAGTATATGTTAAGAATTTTGATATACAAATTTTTTTTTTTTGACATTTCCTATGCCACTGTTCTAGTCATAAGACTATAGAAAAACTCTATTGCTAATGTAAAGAACTAGGTAGTTCTGGTGACTATCATTAAATTGCACCTTTGGATTTATTTATTAAAACTGTCAAATTCCTGCCATTTTTTTCGTCAAACTTTTCACATGCCTTACAGGTGACTGAAGACAGACCCAAAGTAAATCCTGTACAAAAATAATAATTCAATCAAAGTTTCTTATTTAAATGTACCAGAATAGCAAAACATTACTAAACTAGCAAATACATGATTTCGAATGCGTTAATGTATATTTCTTTGTAAAGAGCTAGGTTCACTAACCATGGATTTTTGCCCAAGATTTTGGCAAAAAATAATTTGATGAAAAGTTCTTGTTTTTAAGTTTTATTTATAAGTTCAAGCCTTAAACTGTTAAAAAGTTATGAATTTATTGACATATGTTTACATTTAGTATGATTTATTTTCTATGGAAATACCCCTATTTCCAGCAAAATTAGGAAAATTCACGTATTTTTGGTGTTTTAAACGAAAATTAAAGTATCAGCACAGTCCAGCCCCAACAAAATCATTACACCATTGTGTTGTAATGTATCAAAGGCTTCAACTATATCAATATAAAGTTGGGGCTTGCCTGTGCTCTATTCCAAAATAAGATTTTTATCTTATATCTAAACGTCATTTTCTGGCATTAATTTCAGTAAATTTATACAAATCATGGAGCATGTATATTGCACTCAACATTATTAACTTTTATTCTAAGTTGTTGAAATATGATTCATAACATATATTTTAATAAATGTATGCAGGAAAATCATTTCTTGTAAATTAAAGACACTTTCACTAAAATAAGTACGATAATGTTTTGGTACGAGTTCGACGGTTTCCACTGTAACGGTTGTAAACAAAACTCTGGCAGGTTAAAAGAATTATATGTAAACGCTTATAAATAAATGCTGAAATTCTACTTATGCCTTAAATATTTAATTCTTAGAATTAGCAAGGTGTTGTTATGTAATTTTATTGATTCATTGAAAGAGGTTATGGTGTTCAAGCTATTTTATTGCTGAATACTTGATCTGGGTCCGGTTCTTTCGCCCTCACAAAAAAAAAAAAAACAACAACAACAAACAACTGTGGTCGTTTAAACACAGTGATTAAGAGGTTTTTATGTCTTTTTAAAAGGTAGATAAGAAGAATTCAATTTACTTTGTGAAAATAAAATTATTGCAAGTCTCAAAACAATTTAAAGATACTGTATATAGAGTTTTTAAACTTTATAATTCCACATCGTCTGCATTGATGTATATGTAAAACTACTTGTTAAATGATGTCAAGGCATCCTGGAATGTGGCATTAGCTCAGTGGTAGCATGGGAGCCTCTCACCCAGGAGAATCGAGTTCAAAACCTTTATCATGAATATTTTTTTTTTTAATTATTAATAAAATAGATAGTGCTTTTTCAGTAAATAATATATGTTATTTCATTAATGTATTTATTCTTTCAGATTTTAAGCATTTTAAGTCAGTGCTATTTCATAGTTATTAAGGTATTAAAGATTTGTTAGACATTTGTTTGCTTAAAAATTCAACAAGAAGTTTCAAATCTTATAAATTTAGTATTATTCTCATTAAAAAATATTCACAAGAAATTGCCAAAGCAGGAAGTATGTTAGGAGTCAACGGACGAAATGTCTTCAGTACACTTTCCCAGGATGAGAAAAAAGCATGTTATTAAGCTCTAGCTGTTTCCAAGAATAAATAGACAGAAAGTCTTGACTTGTCCTTTTTCACAATTCAAAAGGATCCTTTTATTTTGTGCACGAAATTGCAGAGCATACATGTAAGCAGCCATAACTACATGAATTGGATTATCTACACGAATGACAGCATTGATGTGTATTACTGCCTTTCTTATGGCTGGTGCACACGTAGTTTGAATGTGTTTCGATGTCTCCACCGTTACATGGTATCTCGCATATGGACTCCTTGAGAAGTTGTGAGACTCAGTCAGGAATGAGAAAATGGGCTGATAATCTTGCTGATCATGTAGCGGTATTTTGAAATTGATAGCCATTCAATACAGTGTGAAAGAGAATCGTTAAAAGTAACAGTAAAAGAGACAATGCTTAATTAAATTTTTGATTGAAGGCTTCCTTATGTTAAGTGTTTAATTTACACTCATTATGTACTTTTACTTTTACTTGGAGTTGTTTTATGTCACATAAATTATGAATACATGTAAATAAATGTTTTATGCCCTCGAAGAATGGCATATTAAAATCGAACCGTCAGTCTGTCATTCCGTCAGTCATTCAGGCTTTATACATATAGACAGTGGTGGTCATGTCCGCTCTGATTCAGTATGCATGAAATGATTTTAATTTTTCTTTCATATATGAAATAACCATAGATGTATGGTGTGTCGCGAACAAGACTGGTTTCTATGACTTAGGTCCAGGTAATTGTGGGGGTTCAAACTTTGTTAATTTTGATATTAATAAAAAAAAAATAGGCAGATATGGTCGTGTCTGCTCTGAAAATAATATGCATGAAAGGATTATAGTTTTATTATACATATGAAATTATCATAAATGTATGATGTATTGCCCTTAAGACCCGTGTTCCTACGCCTTAGTTTAAGGTCACTGCTGGGGTTTAAAGTTTTTCAATATTTATGTTATATACATATAAATGGTGGTTGTTGTGTCCGCTCTGTAACTTCCGTATACATGAAAGTTTCAATTTTTATTTAAAAATATAAAGTCACCATAGATGGACAATGTGTTGTGAACAAGACCTAGGTTTCTTTGTATAACTTATAGTTCATGCTGGGGTTCAAACTTTGTCAATTTTTACCACCACACTTAACATGTAATAGTTGGTTTAGAACTAGAATCCTTCAGGGGCATTTGTCACGTTCTGTGACAGCTCTTGTTTTTTTCTCAGTTCTCATATCGTCATGGATCATTACATTACAATTGTAATATAAATGTCTGATTTCCATAATTATAAATAACACAAATCGTTTTCTGGATTTGGCTGTATCATAATTCATAAAAAGAAAATAGTATCGAATTTTGCAGTTCAGTATCAAATATTACGTATACTCCGAAAGAGCATACAGTCAAACATTATTTTTACTTGACAAAAAAATTCTAACGTACTTTTATATCTATTAATTTACTTAATTTAGGCGGACTTTTACACTATACATTGGAATAAGTCAACATCTCCTAGTATTTACATTATACTATTTGCTTACATGTATATAGTTACTCAGTGTAAGTTTAGTTAGGTTAGACAGAAATACCTATCTGTTTTGTGTTATTATAATATAATAATAATTATAATAATAATAATAATAATTATAATAATAATAATTATTATTATTATTATTATTATTATTATGTTCAACGTCCTTGTCTAAAGACTGACTAAAAAGCCGTTAAAATTGCGATTGATTCTATACACCCTTATTTTAAGCGTAATGTAAGAAGTAGATGAATATAACAAGCACATTAGACATTTATTATTAAAAAATGAACAAACTTACAGTATTTATAAAAGTAAAAATAAATACATTTAGTAAGACGAAAAATAATATGCATGCACATTTTTATTTCTAAATATCCGAATTTGGAATATCCGAAACGAGCCTCATTTATCTATTATATTAGTTTTGTGTCACACTAGTCTAATTTTAACTAAACTATAATTTTGTTTACAATATATAAGAAATATATTGCTATCTCTATGAATTTAATTCAGTCAAATGTATGAAAATTGTCGTCAAATTTGTGATTTAATTGAATTAAGCAGGTGCTCTAATTTTGACGTCATTATGTCGTCATAGTAACCAGAAATGCCTAATAAATGTCTATTTTGAAAATGTAACACATTGTACTATACACCTTTAGGTTTTTATCAATATCTAAGATGGGGCCATTTTTGGTGCTTAGTGAACCTTGCTCTTTATTGGCCTATTAGTCATTTGACAAATTATGAGATAACAGTTGTATTATGCTATATTCATCTCTGTTGAAAGATGACGTCAGTGGTAAACAATAAAATTTCTAGCTCTTGATGATTTTCTGAATGGTGACGAACATTGGGATGACTGATGGCACCATTATTGCAGGTGTTCATTGAGATCTGTTATGTAAAATAATGTAATATTATAGAACAATTTAAGATATTATGTAAAAAGTAAATCAATATTGGAGGTTTTCATATATATGTATATACATGTATGCATTATGTAAAAATATACAATTTTTGATGGTTTTCATTGATTATGTAAAAAATATGCAATTATTGAAGGTTGTCACATATTATGTATAAATATACAATTGGTTTTCATGTATTATGTGGAAAAAAAATATCATTAATATTTTTTTAAATCTGTATAAGAAACAAAAAGAGGAGCAAAGTGAGTTGGAATCGGTTGAAGATATTGACTGCATACAGCAAGTGTTGAAACAGGAAGATCTACACTATAAAAATAATACGTACATGATGGGCTATCCTGAGTAAGTATCATAATACAGTCACCTTAGTGCAGTAACAGGTTAACTCCTATCATATAATGCAGTAACAGGTTAACTCCTTTCCTATAATGCAGTAACAGGTTAACTCCTATCTTATAGTGTAGTAACAGGATAACTGCTATCCTTTAGTGTAGTAACAGGTTAACTCCTGTAGTGTAGTAACAGGTTAACTGCTATCCTTTAGTGTAGTAAACAGGTTAACTCCTATCTTCGTAGTGCAGTAGCAGGTTAACTCCTGTAGTGTAGTAACAGGTTAACTGCTATTCCTTTAGTGTAGTAACAGGTTAACTCCTATCTCGTAGTGCAGTAGCAGGTTAACTCCTGTAGTGTAGTAACAGGTTAACTGCTATCCTTTAGTGTAGTAACAGGTTAACTCCTATCTTGTAGTGCAGTAGCAGGTTAACTCCTGTAGTGTAGTAACAGGTTAACTGCTATCCTTTAGTGTAGTAACAGGTTAACTCCTATCTTGTAGTGCAGTAGCAGGTTAACTCCTGTAGTGTAGTAACAGGTTAACTCCTATCCTTTAGTGTAGTAACAGGTTAACTCCTATCTTGTAGTGCAGTAGCAGGTTAACTCCTGTAGTGTAGTAACTGGTTACTGCACTATGGTGATGATACATAGTGAAATTTATATTAGTTTTAATTATCCAGGAAAGCCAAATAGGTGGATTGTTACTTAAATATGACCAAAAACTTTTGTTAAAAAATTGATTGTAAAACAGTAAAACAGACAAACTAGACTTGCTATTGTTTCAACTATGGTTTGTAATTACTGAGATGGTAGTTTCCTCTTTTAGGTTTGCAATATGTTTGGGATATGTCATCTATGTCAGAGATATACAAAATGTTTTAACCCTCTATATCCAATTCTTTAGTTAAAAAAAGTACTCAGGACTGTACAAGATTATTCATTATATGAGCCGTGTCACGACGAAAAACCAACATAGTGGGTTTGCGACCAGCATAGATCCAGACCAGCCTGCGCATCCGCGCCAGTTGATCAGGAAATCCCATGCTGTTCGCTAAAATCAGTTTCTCTACTTGTAATAGGGTTTTTAAAAGCGAACAGCATGGATACTGAACAGACTGCGCGAAATGCGCGACTGGTCTGGATCCATACTGGTCGCAAACGCACTATGTTGTTTTGTCATGACGCGGCTCAATATGTATCTTTCTTTCAACCAGATGGTACAGAATACTTGTACACGTTTAACTTAAGTGAATGAGTGGTGTCCAGGGTCCCACAAGCTGATCAGTCATCAGACGAGAAGTGACCCCAAAACTTCTACGTCTCACCTGGATGGCTATCCTGTCCACCATGATGACACACATGGCTGGGGATACCTGGTCCCCAGGCAGCAGAACAGATAACTTAGAGGACCCAGTACTCGAACCTGGTGAAGAAGCTTCCATAGAAAGGCAGTTCCCATATAAGTATGTATAAGTATGTGTAGTAAATTTCATGATGTGTAAAAAAAAAGATGTCATTTTATATTCTCAAAGCGAAATGAATTATATGTAGATCTGATTATTATTTCTTTGTCAAATGCAAAGTTCTCAAAGGTGAAACCTTTGTGACAAACAGATGTGAATAAGTCATCCATTGTATGTTGTCCATTATTTTATAGAATTAAAGAGTGAGAAAAAAAAACCCCCAAACAAAATTTTTAAAAATTCAATATTTTTGTTTGTTTTTTTTAGCCTTTTTAGTTGATAAATAAAAAAGGAAAAATTATTATTTTTTTTAAAAATTTTAAATTAAATTTCAACCCCCTTTTTTCTCCTGAAAAAAATTAATAACAGAAAATACTGAAAAATTTAAAACAGTTTTGTAAAATTTTTTCTGCCGAAAATTAAGAAAGTTTTTAGTCCCAAGTTTGTTTTGTATAAATATGAGTGGCCCTTAAAAAACACATTTTTTTTTTAATTGTGGGGAAAAAAAAATTGTTTTGGTTGATGGCTTTAAAAATAATTTTTTTTAAAAGCTACCAAAATTTTTTTTAAAATAACTTTTGGGACAAAAAAGGTTTTAGTAGACAGAAATTTGTATTTAGTATATACATCGTGTAGGTACTATATTGTTAGGATGGTTGAATTTGTTTGAAAGCACATGAACATCACACTTGTAAAAAAGTTTTTAAAATTTTGTATGCCTTTTGACAATAATAGTAAATAGAAACTGTCCATCAATCTTTTCATACCAAGTTTAACCTAAATCGGCAAGTTTGCTGATATCTTAGATCTACCTGTACCAAAATGATGAGATAAAATGAGATTTGATATTTTAGAATGTAGACAACATGACCAATCTGATTGAACAAGCTTAAGTGTGAGGTAACATGGCTGTCTTTTTGGACGGCCTGTTATAGTATTGTTTTTTTATTATTTGCTGATTGCAGTATTAATTTTGTTAAATCACTTTTTACAGGGAACTTTGTGAAATCTGGGTATAGGTAAAGAAGCCTCCGCTGTAAGTATTGAAGATGATGAATGTAATGATAGTGATGATGAGGGAAATGTTTTGATATGAACAGATGAAGAGTTTTTGAACTAAAGATGGACAAGATGCTGAATGGACTTGTAAATGCTGGCCCCAAATCGTACAAACATCGTAAAGAAGGTGAAGATCCTAAGATTAAAAAAGCAGCCAAGGTCAGTATTGTTTGTACATGTATGTTTTTGTTTTTTCTTTGTGTTTTTTTTTCCAGTTTATGAATCACTATGTTTTAAAACTTAAACAGTGAGTGAGCACCTTCAGGTTATATCTTCAGTTTTCTGTGATGGAGACGACAGTATTCCTATCGAAGGTTTTCTGCAAAAGGGACAAAGAGTCATTATCACATATTATGTATCACCTCTTAGTTATTTAAGAGAAAATATGTAACTCAAATGATGCAGAAAACCCAATAAAGGTTTGGTGTTCTACCAGGCCAATCTCTTGTTCACAATGCTGTCTTTGCCATGGATGCCATTTATGACTGTGGCCTTGATTTGAGTGAATATCATTTTTTCACCAGAGCCAGCTCTATCAGACTTTCATCTGTTATCTGTAATCTAAACAAAAAAAGACCAGTTAATGTTCCCACTTTCATTTCCCTAATATTTTATCCATTCAGTGAAATGTTTCTGGTCTGTCAAGAAAAGGACTTTTTTAAAAGTGGCATTTTAGCCCTGTGGCAAAAGTAATAGATAGATTGAGAATGTGTTGAAAAATACTGCTACATGTTCATCAAAAGTGAAATCCTAACATATGAGGATCACAAGTTATCAATCTGTCTTTGTAGAAGAAAAAAAACCAACTAAATTGTTGATCATTTTTTGAACTTTTGATTTAAAAACAAAGAGGCTACTGTAATATTTATGTGGCATAATTATTCAGTAGTCTATAAAAATTGATGAATTGTTTTTTTATCATATTTGTATTGATTTTCATTAGAAAATTGGAAAATAATTAGTTATTTTTGCATAGTAAAACACACAGAATATGATATTATCTGTGCATTTACATTTGGCATCTCGAGACAACGTACACAATTTGATGTTATATGTTTATGAGTTGGTCCATTTAAATTTGTATCATAGCTGAGAGACTTTTCCTTGGAAATGCACTCAGAATAAATTGTATATCCAGTGGAGCACAGTGCCTTAACTAAAGTGCAGGTATTAGTTACCCAGAGTCTAGCTACTACACCATGTGCAGGCTGTAGAAAGTCAAAGAGTTGAAAGTAAAAACTGAAATGTATCTTAATCATATTGAGAATTTACAATAATTAAATTTTTCACTTTAAATGTTTGATCTGCAGAGGAATCAGAGTAAGTATAAAAATAAAACTCCAACAACTCATTTCTTACTAACTTAACATTGAGTTAGCAATGTGTTCTTATTGAACTTACTATGTGACCCGACATACGGAAAAGCAGGGATAAAGATAGCCATGTGTTACATTGATTATAACATGCTCACAGATTGGCTTTTTTACTTGTTGTCAATATTTGCAGGTTTGAAATCTCTCTGTAAATTAATTTTCAAGTCGTAATAAGGCTTATGTTACATTGAAAATATAATCCTATTGAAAGGATTGGTATTTAATTAATTATCAGTGTTATGTAACAAAAATAGTTTCTATATATTAATAAGGTATTATGTTTATTGGCAACATATACCATTTCAAAATGTCATATATCTAATTAGTCAAGTATGCTTGCACCACCTATGACAGCTCTTGTGAATACAAACTCTGTGTGACCTTTTTTTAGAGTACTTACTACTTTCCAACATTAGTACCATTTTCCTTCCCAAAGCAACAATTCACAATGAGTTTTACTTCTGTAAAGTAACACCACTTAAGAGCACCAAAGATTTTTGTCTGTCATCATAAAATGTTAATTTATTTGTTTTTCTTGTTTTTATGCTGATTTTAACATATTTTTGGTCATATCCTGGCATTCAATCCATATAACAGGCTTTCCTGGACAACTAACTGTTAATAACCAATTTCTACACATAGGAATGACTACTACTAATCCAACATGATTTCTGACCCAACATTGAGACACAAATGATCATTACACTGAATGTCTTTTATCAATTGTTACAGACAAACTTTGCCTAACCAGAGGATCAAACCTTTGATGTATATAATAAACTCCAATTATCAAAAATGTATGGTATTTGAGCTCATGGATGCTGTGTATTTATTTTCAGGAAAGAAGATCAAGAAAACGTTTAAAACATACAGGGGATGGACCTTATGACAGTGTAAATATTCCAGGCTGCTGGTTCTTTAAAATTCCTCACAAGGTAACAATCTACAAAAATAGCACTGTAAAAGGTAAATGAAGTAGGTGCATAAGTGTTTTATTGACATATTCCTAGTTGAATCTTGTAACACTGCAATACAAAGCATTCAAAGCAATACAAACATCAAGAAGATTACTGGTTAAGACAGAAGTTTTGTGTGTGTGGTTTTTTTTTCACTTTCACCTGATACATTTTAGGTATACTCTTCCTGTTAAAGTATTTGTGAATTCTTGTGTCTATTGTGAATTTTTGTGTCTATTGTGAATTCTTGTGTCTATTTTGAATTCTTATGTCTATTGTGAATTCTTGTGTCTGCAGGATGGGAAGGGTAAGAGAGTTGGTAACCCTCTGGCAAAAGATTATGTTAATCGTGTTGAAGATGGGACACTGTCAGCCCAGTCAGGTCCAGGTGCAGATCTCGTCCTGAAATTAAACAAGTCATCTAACTACTGGAAAATGAATCACAAGCGCATTGAGTGAGTTTGTTTTTGTTACTTTTTCAATTTCAATAGAGAGAGCATCAGATTTGTAATACAGGGGTCACTGGTTCATTCCTCAGTTGAGGCAAAATTTTCTCTCAGACAATTCATCTCAAGACTTTGAGTCTAATGACCATTTGTCTCTTACTGCTAATCCAGAAATCATGTAGGATTAGTAGTCATGACTCTGTCTGAGAAATTGGATATAACTGATTAGTTATCCAGGAAAGCCTGATATGTGGAAGGACCACAAAGATATGACCAAAAATGTGTTGAAATTTTCCTTAAACAAGACAAGACAAAAAAGAAAGTTAAATGTAAACAATTTTGTAATGTGTTTTATTTATGAACATTTTTTTGTTTGTAATCAGCAAAGTTTGTAATCAGCAAAATCATTTCAACAATGTATTTATGTTTCTGATATGAACTATTTTGTCAAACCTTTTGCTAAGCCCCTTAATTTGAAGATGGGACTACCGGAAAACAACGTGTCATCAATTATTCCATTAACCTTTTGTAGATAGGCCCCTCTATGCCAAGTGCTTCAGGTTGCTAACTTCAAACCATTTGGTTTATACAGAATTTATTTTAGTTCGATTGTGTAGGAAGCTCTAAGCTTAGACACAATTTCGAATCCGTTCCTGGAACCAGCCAGTACTGAGCAATGAGTGTAAAGTTTCTTGCTCAAGGAAACAATGACTTGCCCCTGAAGGGGTTTGAACCCATGCGGCTAGCGATCTTTAGATTACTAGTCTGACACATTAACCACTCAGCCATGCAGCCACTTGTCAAACCATTTGTCTTCTAGTCAGAGGCTTATGACTCTTTCATGTATGGAAGCTGTCTAGCAAGCTTACACATGGTCAATGGTTCTACTCAGATGTTGGCTTTTGCCTAAAATAATGCCCAAACAGGCATCTAAGGCGTCTACCTACACCATTAAAGCTGGAATGTCGTCATATAACTTTTGCAGTGCTGATGTGAATTAGAAATTCAACAAAACAAAACAAACAAAACTGTTTTTGGAGATGCCAATGCAAATGTTTTTTCTTGGAAAAAACAACAACAAAAAACAATGACAAAAAACAAACAAATACAGCAAGATTTCATTGAACATTAAAATTAGATTCAAGTAGTATGTATGAAATTGTGTCTTAATCTGTAATATTGATAAATTCCCTGTACTAAGAAATGATAATCAGTTGATATTTCCTTCATAACATTTTATTTTTCATAAATTTTCAGGTCACAGATGGCAATATGGTTTTCTGATGAGGAGATATCTGACCATATCAAACAGTGAGTATGAAGATTTAAGCACAACAGCTTTTGATATTATTAACCATACTGGATGACATTACAGGTTGGCATCAACCAGGTTGGCAGTTGATGCATAAAATCATATGGGATTTAATAATTTAAAATAGCAATTCCAATTCACTGTGTCTCATACATATGATACAGCAATATTTTGAATGGTAAGAAACATTGCTGGTTAATCTGAATCATGATAGCAAATGCTTTCAAAACATTTAGGTTAGCAAGGAATGCATGCAAACAAAACTAAAATAACAATGTTTTGATGTGGTCATTGATACAAGTTACCTAATTATTTGAATACTTAGAAACATATGCATTTAAAAACTTTATTTACATTAATAAACAGGACTCAGTATTTCACAAAATTGAATTGGACATTCTGACTTAGACTTTTGACCTTTGCTTACTGACCTTATTGCCGTTGTCAAAATGTGTCTATATTTGCAATGGAAGTATTGGTAATTGTGATGATGGACCCTATTGGATTTGAACTACTGTCATAAATATTTTTATCTGAAAACCAGAAAAGAGATACTTAGGTCTGTTTCGCCTTATTTTGAGGAATGGTAAAATTTGTACTCATTGGGTCTTGAAGCAATTACTGTATGCTTATGTAGACTGTGCAGTCTAACCAGACTCTGGTATACTGTTGATTGGTCAGTTATGGTATAATTGATATACTGAACTTGAACTGACCAAGAGTAGCTCCAGATCAAAGTGGGAGAATTCTTTTTCACTGATATTTCACATATTTTAGATAGATGAAGTTGATATTCATTGTCTTTATTTACAGGGCACCAAATTATGTAGAGGGGAGCCAAATAGGAGCAATAGTTCCAAGAATTGTCCCTGCTGGTACAATTACACGGAGGGGTGTGGAACCAACCTGGCTGACGGCTAGTAATGCATATGTGAGTAAGAATAAATTAACTTACATGTTTTGTTTATGCCTTTACAAATAGACTGTCAATAGCAGAAGGATTTTAAAAAAAATCTGGTGAAATAGTTTTTAAATGAGTTTCATTTAATTTGGCAACAATCAAATTAATGAAAATTATGTCTCATAACCAGTCTATAGTCAGTGGTATTTTCACATGTTTTGCAGAGTTACTGCCCTTGAACTAATTATGTTTTGAAGGGTGACTGCCCTTGAACTGATCAAATTGATCAGATAAGGCTCCTAAAACATTTTAAGTTATTATAGGGTTACTGCCCTTGAAACGTTTTATTATTGAATTGGCATAAAAGACACAGAATGTGAGTTGGCACTTTTAAAAAGGAGCATGTAAAATTCAAACTTAAATTAACACCTGTAAAAAAAGTTAAATTACCTCCCTTGAACATCAAATAAAACAAAACATAGAGTTTCAGCATGCTTAGAATTTTTGGTTAACCCACCAATAAGTGGTTTACCCATGATCTGGTTGAAAAAATCAAATTCATCTTGTTTTTCTGGCATTTTTGATTTAAATTCTTATCTTTATTACTCTGCCCCTATTTATTTTAGATTTACAAGTGTACTTTATTTCCAAATCACTTCCCTGTATATATAGATTGTGCAGCTAGAGTAATTGATTGCATTCTTTCTCTTTTGTATCATAGTCAAACATAAAAGCTAGTTCCCTGTTGTCACAATATGAAACCCCAGAAAAATGAACGAGCATCTGAACATGAAATTTCTGTCGCTTTCTTTTCTCTGCAGTCGCAATAGGTAAACCCAGCAAAAACGAGCCAATCAATGGGCATGCTCTGGAGTGCGGGTAACTAATACCTGCACTCCAGTTAACGCACTGTGCATGTATATGTATACGATTTAACTCTGACACGTTTTCAACAGAAAGGTCCAATTAGTATACAGTGTAACTTCCGAATTCCGGAACTTCTGAAATCCGGAAACTTCTAAAAACCGAACAATTTTTTCGGTCCCGATTTTTTCCCTTCTATTTTCTATCAATAATACTTCTGAATTCCGGAACTTCTAAATTCTGAATTCCGGACGATATTTTCGTAAAATTAGAGTCAAATCAATGCAATTTTACCTCCAAAAACCGGAAATATCCAAAGGTGTGAAATACATTGTAAATCGAGAATGTTTACCCTGCAGGAAGATTTAATCTCCCTATCGATTGTTTACTAATTAGCGGTGATCGTGTAATTTGACACGCGTTAAAATCACAAACTGTGAAATGAAAGTAATTTACGACGGTCAGTTAATTTGAAGTGTTTATTAGCGGATTAAATGACAATTAATTGGACAATGTCTTAAAGACAATCAAACGTCTTTAGGGATTTTATTGCATTTGATGTAATAATTAATTAACTAGCATCGGACGATATGTAAGTTTATGCAATTAACAACATTTCTACAAACTGATAGAAATTCAAAAGCATTTGCAGTTAAGATAAAAACGTATTCTTTTCATTCACATCTTTATCTTGATTAAAAGACTATTACATATGATATTACAGCAATCTTCCTTGAATTTAGTGATATTAAGTGGCTTAGTCTTGTCCACATTATCATGAACCTCTGAATTCCGGAAACCTCTGAAATCCGAACTTTTTGACAAGTCCCATGGGTGTTCGGTTTTCGGAAGTTACACTGTATATACCAATATTTTGAATTGTATGTATTTAATATAGTAATGATGGACATACATAATAAATATTTTCTTGAAGCAGATGCCAATGGGTGTTTTCTCTTTATGTAATATTTTGAATTGTATCTATATAATAATGATGGACATACATAGATATTTCCTTGAAACAGATATCAGTAGGTGTTTTCTCTTGAATGTAGGTGGACAGAATTGGGAGTGAGTTGAAATCAATGGTGCAGGCACCACCAGGATTCTGTTTTGTAGGGGCTGATGTTGACTCACAGGAATTGTGGATTGGTGCTATTCTAGGGGATGCCAACTTTGGAAAGACACATGGTATGAAAAATGTTTGCTTCTTTATTTTATTGCAGCTTTTGATGGTAAAGTGATCATGACTGCTTACATGGAGGCAATTGCCCCGTGGCTGTTTAAAGGTTCAAGCCTTTTTATGAACTTTTGCGTTTTATTTTTAAAAAGAAATAATACAGATGAATTAAACCTCAAATACCCATCTGTCTGTGTATATAAATTTATGCATGAGTGGTCACCTGAGAATAATCAATATTTGTTACATTTGGTGGACAGCTTCAACACATTAAGGACACACATTGAATCCACAAATTATTAAGGGGTAAATGAACAGAATTCTGTCACTCTGCCACTCTGTCATAAAGGCCTTGAATGTTAAATATTCAGGTATGCTAATTTTCTTGATTTAGTAGTAAACTGCTATGATCTTGGTAACTAAAGGGGGTGTTTTTTAGGTGTGGGGGCATTTTTTACAGAGTATATGGTAGTTTAATTTTTATCACTTTCAGGTTGTACAGCTCTAGGATGGATGACACTACAAGGCAGTAAGAAAGAGGGTACAGATCTACACAGTGTGGTTGCCAAAACAGTTGATATCTCTAGAGACCATGCCAAGGTGAGGTTTATCAGCAAAACATTTTTAACTTAATTATAAAAAGAATTAGGGAAAATTGGTAAAGATTTTGTGAGCAATGGCATTCTTGACAAATAGCAATAGAGCAGTCAAACAATACTGTATAAGTGAATATTTCCTCATGTTAAAAAGTTAGCTTATTTCAAATTCCAGAAATTTTTTGTGAGGAAATATTAGCAAATCACACAAGGGTAGCATTTAATAACAGGTTGGTTGAGTATTTACGCTAGAGGAAATTTTAGCGATTTTCGTCAATTCACTATATCTGCCAGTATTTCCACATCGCTAATTAAACACTTATACAGTAACCATTATTTAATTTCACCTAATTTCTGAATTAGCAGTGAAAGATAAATGACTGTTTGAGTCTAAGATCAATTGTCAAGGAAAAGTTTCGCCTTGCCCGATGATCGAACCATGGACCCCTGGATTACTTACCAGTTTTCCCATTCTTATTGAACTAAGCCAGTGGTATTCCATTAGCCTTTAAACCCTTGCTGAACATGTAATTTTAGTATGTCAAGTTTGTCTATCAATTTAAACAAAATCAATCTATCTGTCTCTCTTTATCAAGATCATGAATAATGGAGGAAAGTTTTTCTAAAACCCTTTAATATTTGTCCCATTTATACATATTAACTGGGTATATAAACTGTAATATATTGACTCGCTATTGGTCAGCTAGTATTACCTGCTAGCTGATAAGCCCCACCTAAATTCACCTTGCATCACCTCTCTGTAGTATCATTAGTGACCAAGAGGTGCGTTTTTGAATCTCCCTACCCATGCTACCTAGTAAAATATATTATAGCTGCCGTAACATAAACCTAATTGATGTATGAATTTTCTCATTATTTTCCATGTACAGGTGTTTAACTATGGGCGTATATATGGGGCAGGCCAGACGTTTGCACAGAAGCTTCTCCAACAGTTTAACCATAGACTTACAATAGAAGAGGCAAGACAGAAAGCCAAACTGATGTTTGCTACTACAAAAGGCAAAAGATGGTACTGAAAAAACTTAATTGTTTTATCTTGGGACTTTTTTTATTAGCTCACCTATCACAAAGTGACATGGTGAGCTTTTGTGATCGCTTTTCATCCGGCGTTCGTTTGTAAACTTTTACTTTAAAGGACATCTCCTCATAAACTGCTAAGCCACTTTTATCCAAACTTCACAGTAATGTTCCTTTGGTTGTCAACTTTGAAAATTGTTCAAAGAATTTAATTCCAAGCAGAACTCTGGTTGCCATGGTTACCGAAAGAAAAAACTTCAAATATCTTCTTTTAGAAAACTGAAAGAGCTAGAGCTTAAATATTTGGAATGAAACATCATCTAGTCAGTGTCTACTAAGTTTGTTCAAATAAATGCCCTGGGGTCAAAATTGGCCCCTCCCAGGGTGGGAGGTTTATTGTTTTTTTCCTATATGTATATAGTAAAAACTTAAACAAATCTTCTTATAAAAACCCAAAAGAGCTAGAGCTTAGATATTTATCATGAATCATCTTCTTATGGGTGTCTACCATGTTTGTTCAAATAAAAGCCCCTGGTTAAAAATTGGCCTTGTCCCAGGGGCCTATATACAGGTGAGCCATTTTAGGGCCATGATGGCCCTCTTGTTTTTAAAATTATGTTTTATAAATTTTTTTAAGAAAAATGTAGATTTGATTTAAAAAGCATTTTTGGGAAACACTTTTGGTGAATATGCTCTCAAGAAATTTTTTAAAGGCACATTATGCCTCGGAAATCCATAATTTTTTTATCGTCAAGAAATGCCAAGCATAAGAATGTTTAAAAATGAATTAAGAGCATGCAAGATGTTTTACAACTGAAGAAAGTAGTGCTGAATGTGAAGTTATGTGTCGTAAAGGTAGCAAAATGTAAACAAAATACTTCCATACAAAATACTAATTCAATATAATTATACAAATTGCCAACAGACAATGAGTGTTTTTATTCTGAAACTGTAGCAAGATACTAAAAATAAATTGTTTTTAAGAAATAAGAATGAAAGCATTTCTTAGGCATAATGGGCCTTTAATCATCATTGAACAAATAAGACTCATGCATGCAGGTCATATACAAAGGGAGACAACCTTAATTTGTTGACATAATCTGATCATACATTATAGATTATCAGCCAATGTAGAGAATTTCAAGTCCAGTAACGACTGTCTCAATATTTTTATTATTATGCCCCCGCCATGTAATCCGTGGCATGATGACACATTTCTAGTTGTTAATAAATCACTGATAAAATGTAGCAATAACTGAAAATAATCTATCAATGACATTGGATAAATCAGCCGTAGCTATGTGTAAAATAGGCCATGATTTGTCCTTTAGTTTTAAGTTTTTGCTTCCAGAATTTCTTGTCTGTCATTTTTATGTAAATTTAAAAATACCAGTAGTTCTAAGTAGTCAAACTTTTGTTGAGTCAACAAATGGAGTGATATGAGCTACTAAAGCTACTCGTATTTAAATTGTCTCCAGAAATTTTTAATGTGTTACATATGCTGAAATAGCCATAACATGCTAAAAATAGCCATTAGTTTGCAAGTTATTTTATAGAAATATGGTGACAAAAACTGTAAACTCACATATTTTCTTTTAATTTTCAGCTACCGAACAGGGCTGTGGAGTGGTGGGAGGTAAATGTATTATAATAGCTGTTAGATTTTACTCCCTGCGTGTAAAGTTAGGCTTATTTTTCTAAAAATATTAGTTTAAAAAAAATGAAATTAGGCAAAAGCCTGTTTGTTTTAAACTTGTTTATTTTATTACATGTATTTATTGATATTTTATATTATAACATAGTTATTTTAGTTTGAATGCATGGAAGGCTTGAAAGACTTTTATTTAATTTCTTGTGAATCGGCGTCCCTAGTTAAGTTTCTTTAGGTTGTTGACTTCATACCACTTGCCCCTCACTGACTGAAGTCTCGAATCCAACCAGGGACTTTGAATTCTTCCATGTGAGGAAGCTATCCAGCTAGCTTACGTAACATTAGTGGTTCAACTCGTTTTGAGGAATTTAATGATCGCAAAAAAAGGAGAAAATTTGATTTTAAGATAAATACCTAATTTATTAATACTTTATTCTCTCTAGATTTACATAGATCACCAAGTTGTCAGGCATGCTAAGTTTGTAATTATATTAATGAGCCGTGTCATGACAAAACCAACATAATGGGTTTGTGACCTGCATGGATCCAGACCAGCCTGGGCATCAGCTCAGTCTGATCAGGATCCCTGCTGTTCGCTTACCAACCCTATTACAAGTAGAGAAACTGATAGCGAACAGCATGGATCCTGATCAGACTGCCCGGATGGTCTGGATCCATGCTGGTCGCAAACGCATTATGTTGGTTTTGTTGTGACACGGCTCATTTATGTATACAGTGAAAGCTCTATGTTTAACAAGCTGGAAGAAATTGCTAAACAAGAGGAACCCTGCACTCCAGTACTGGGCTGCCGGATCAGCAAGGCCTTAGAACCAGAAAATGTCAGCGAAGATGTAAGTGAAGTAGAATTGTTTTAGAGGTTTAAACAATGTTACAATAGCCAGTGATAAGTCAGGGGTCAGTACTGGATTACTCCTTCATTACTCCTTCATTACTGCTTCAACTGCTTAAGTTACGTAGAATCAAGAAATCACCTCAGGCTGACATTCAACACAATAGTTTGCTCTTGTTTACAAAGTGTACAGAATTTATTATGTATTATATAGTCTCAAAATCAATTTGAAATAATACAGACAATGCTAAAAAATCATCAATATTACATTGTGATTCATAATAGTGGATAGTTATACATATGATTACAGAAAAATAGCAGTTTAAACTTTTAGTATTTCTAAATGTACATGTATAGCTGTTTCAAAAACTGATTTGGTATCATTCTTCTATATTATAAATTGTACTGTGAATTGTTTTGTCTTATCACTTGCCTGGCAATACACAAGCCATTATTATATCATAGATTATCTGGAAAAGTTCATAAGGCGTTAAAGAGGTTTTTTCATTATTAACCCTTAAAGTGCTAGAACGGAAAGTTTTAAACCTTTGCCACCAGTATAGAGCCAGGCTAGCCTGCACATCCCCGCAGTCTGACCAGGCTCTATACTGTTGGTTGACAAACTTTGAATATTCAAATTGATTTCCCTAAAATTGACAATGAACAGTCCCAAAATAGAAGTGGGACAAGGCCATTTAAAACATTCAGCATGTTCTTTATTAAAATACAATTAAAATATCAGCCACAAACCGTATTGAGCCTCTTGAGGTTACACTGAGGTATTGGGCTGCTATTGTTGAAATTAAGGTGACAGAAGATTTTATTGCAAATAATATGAAATTTCGTGGAAACATTGTGTTGTGACAGTGTCAAGTGTTTTCTTTACATGTATAAGAGTATTTAAGCAAACAAGAATCCTTATTGACTTGCTCGATAAAAAAATACCCAACAGATTGTATTATTTCTTCACGCAGGAAATAAATCATGATGTTAATTAAACATTGTCTGAGATGTTTTATTTTCAGTTTATGACAAGTCGTATAAATTGGGTCGTACAGAGTTCAGCAGTGGATTATCTCCACTTGATGCTATCATGTATGAGTTGGTTGTTTGAAGAGTACAATATCAAAGGACGGTTTTCTATTAGTATTCATGATGAAGTCAGGTAAGTCCGGTTATACTGGCATACAAGACTCCTTAAAATGAATGCAAAAACATTGAATGGTCATTGTTTTGATATGCATATTTATTACCCTTCCAGATTTTTTCCGCCTTTTTGATTGGTTATTGATCACCCGAAAGAAATTGATATTACCGAGCCAGACGGGTAATATACACACTAAATTTCCCCGTTGGGTACCCCATGTTGTAAACAACATGCGCTGAGGTGATGCGCGTACAGTTCGATTTTACGCGGTGTAAATTCCGATACTTTTTAACTGTCAAATGATAAATGTTTACCAAAGTAAAGTAATGATACATATTCTCATCACTATTGAAAACAAATATGACCTTGTGAAAGCTTGATATTAATTACAAAAAAGTGCGTTCAATAGACTACTCCTTTTCTCTTGTTTACATTCGTTAGGTACGGGGAAAAAGTATGTCATGTATTTATGTGACGTCATGTTGTGATGAAGGGGTTCCCTAAAGGGAATCTTATTTGGACGTTTCATTTGAAACAACAATGATTTTTTTAAAAATCGTCTAAACTCGGCAGGGGAAGGGTAATAAAATTATTATTTTGGTTTTGGAGTGATATATGTGGATATATTACCTGCCAAGATAAAATATCACCCTAACGGCTCGGGTGATATAAAATCTTAGCAGGTAATATATCCACATATATCACTCCAAAACCAAAATAACATATAATATATTTATTTATTCTTATCGTGAAAGGAATTTAAAAAGATCTGTGTTTAATTGAAAGGAATTAAAAAGGATCCATGTTTAATCATAAGGAATTAAAAAAGATCCATGTTTAATCAAAAGGAATTAAAAAAGATTCATAATTAATAATATTTATCATGACAGTAAAGGGTTACCCATGACCAATTAGTTAAGGTTATTGACTTTGAAACACTCGTCTCTCATATCATTAAGTTTAGATTTATAAGGTACTTTGTCCGTCTTCCAAGGTGTCCAATAAGCTTATGGAATGCCACTGGTTCAACTCATAAAAGAGCATCAGATGTATTCCACTACCAGCAGAGCAAGAAAGTTGCCATATGACATATATTGTGTTTAAGCTGACTAAACACCAAAGTAAATGAAATGATGACTGTCACCAGATAAGCTCAATAAGGAGAGAAGCTGATTTGTGATCCAGGAGTTACTGGTTCAATCCTCGGGCAAAGCTAAATTTCTCTATGGTATGACAATTGACCTCTATCATTGAGTCTGATAGTCATTTGTCTATCACTGCTGATTCAGAAATCATTGGATAAGTAGTTGATCATGTGGGGAGAAATTTTAATTACTGGTTAGTTGTCCAGGAAAGCTGATTAGGTGGATTGACTGTCAAGATATGACCAAAAAGTGTACTAAAACAACATAAATACAATTAAAATACAATTAGACTGGATGAGTGATTTGCGCAATATAATGTTTTTTCTCCAGATACCTGGTGGCTGAGGAGGATCGTTACAGAGCAGCTCTAGCTCTACAGATCACCAATCTACTAACGCGTTCAATATTTGCATACAAACTTGGTCTTAAGGATCTGCCTTTGGTAAGCATGTATTATGATTTGTCTATTCATTTTTATATGCCCGAAAGAATTTCGGGCATATTATGTTATACCCCCTTGCGTCCGTCTGGCTGTCTGTCTATCCGAGCCAACATTTGATTATTATGAGCTTCATTCCGTAGTTAAATAAAGAACATAAACTCATAAAATTCAAATTAAGAGCTATTTTTTTGTTTTTATGAGCTTATTTTGCTTATGGACGTTGGTCCAGGTGGTGTTTATGAGCTCATTTGCCTCATAAACATCAAATTTTGGTACGTCCGTGCGTCCATCTGTCCGTCCGTCAGTTAGCAATTTGGTTTCCGGAGCATAACTTAAGTTCCATTTGGCCCACAATATTCAAACTTCATAGGATGATTGTCCATATTGGGTAGAAGACCCCTATTGATTTTGGGGTCACAAGGTCAAAGGTCAAGGTCACTATCACCTTAAAACTGAAAACAGTTTCCGGAGCATAACTTAAGTTCTGTTTGACCCACAGTGTTCAAACTTCATAGGATGATTGTCCATATTGGGTAGAACACCCCTATTGATTTTGGGGTCACAAGGTCAAAGGTCAAGGTCACTATCACCTTAAAACTGAAAACAGTGTCCGGAGCATAACTTAAGTTCTGTTTGACCCACAGTGTTCAAACTCCATAGGATGATTGTCCATATTGGGTAGAAGACCCCTATTGATTTTGGGGTCACAAGGTCAAAGGTCAAGGTCACTATTACCTTAAAACTGAAAACAGTTTCCGGAACATAACTTAAGTTCCATTTGGCCCACAGTGTTCAAACTTCATAGGATGAATGTCCATATTGGGTAGAAGACCCCTATTGATTTTGAGGTCAAAGGTCAAGGTCACTATTACCTTAAAACTGAAAACAGTTTCCGGAACATAACTTAAGTTCCATTTGGCCCACAGTGTTCAAACTTCATAGGATGATTGTCCATATTGGGTAGAAGACCCCTATTGATTTTGGGGTCACAAGGTCAAAGGTCACTACATGTATTTCTTTAATACTGAAAACAGTTTCCGGAGCATAACTTAAGTTCCATATTGCCCACAATATTAAAACTTCATAGGATGATTGTCCATATTGGGTAGAAGACCCCTATTGATTTTGGGGTCTCAAGGTCAAAGTTCAAGGTCACTATTACCTCAAAACTGAAAACAGTTTCCAGAGTATAACTTAAGTTCCATTTGGCCCACAATATTCAAACTTTATTTGAGGAATGCTATTTAAAGGAGGTAATACTTTATTTAATTTATGTAATGTCTTACAAATGCTTCATCCTTACTAAAAAAAAGCACTTTCGGGCATATAATGTTCCGCCTAGCGGTGCTCTTGTTATCTTTTACTTCATTATAGCAGTTTAGATTAATGTTTTGTTTTTTTTCTTGTGTTTATGATCGCACCATTACAGTGGAGGTGATATATTGACTTTCCAGCTTTACTGGTGGAGGAAAACCTCAGGTTCATAAAATAATATTAAAAAACTTTCCATATTAGTAAATATATTAAACATGGGCATGTTTTAAGACTATTTTCACAGGAATCGAATGAAAAATAAATTATTATCAAGCAAAAATTAGGGGTAAAAATTCTCAAACTCTTAAAAAAAGACGGAAATCCAGGTAGGGGGTTAGGTTTTTGTGGTATAGCTTTAAAATTCTTTGTTGGATTTTAATGGAACATACATCAATGTTTACAGAATATCCATGCCTAATTTTGTCAAGACACAATGCCGTTTGATAGAATTTTGTCCAAGAAACAGATGTAAAAAAAAACGAAAAAATAGGCGTAAATTATGGTACAGGAGTAAGATATTTCAAATTATTCACCCCATTCATAAAATAATATTTTTTTTTTTTCAAAAATGTAAATATATTAAACATGGGCATGTTTTTAGACTATTTTCAAATGAATCAAATTAAAAATAAATTATTTACAAGCAAAAATTAGGGGTAAAAATTCTCAAACTCTTAAAAAAAGACAGAAATCCAGGTAGGGGATTAGGTTTTCGTGGTATAGCTTTAAAATTCTTTGTTGGATATTATTGAAACATACATCAATGTTTACAGAATATCCATACGCACATTTTAAGTCTAATTTTGTCAAGATACGATGCCGTTTGATAGAATTACGTCCAAGAAACTAATGTAAAAAACGAAAAATAGGCGAAGATTATGGTACAGGGGTAGGATATTTCAAATTATTCACCCCATTCATAAAATAATATTGAAAACTTTTCATATTAGTAAATATATTAAACATGGGCATGTTTTAAGACTATTTTTAAAAGAATCAAATGATCAATAAATTATTTACAAGCAAAAATTAGGGGTAAAAATTCTCAAACTCTTTAAAAATGACGGAAATCCGGGTAGAGGGGTAGGTTTTAGGGGTATAGCTTTAAAATTCTTTGTTGGATATTATTGAAACATACAACAATGTCTACAAAATATCCATATCCACATTTAAAGCCAAATTTAGTTAAGATTGGATGCCGTCTAATAGAATTGCGTTCAAGAAACAGATGTAAAAAAAAAAAAAAAAATAGGTGAAAAATTATTTATCATGTTGATTAAGGGCTGTTAGCCGCCTCTTTCATAAAAAGAGACGTTTTCAGTCTACGCCACCAGGAGGCCGTCCTATAGTAGACCACTCACATATATTGTCTATGCCATCCCCATAACAATCTTTCACTTTATTATGTACGAAAGCTCTGTTCCGGCATATGCACACAGGTGCAAGCCTTCCCATGAGCTATCTTCAATATTTTAGTTTCCGATTGTTAGGTTATTGCATAGACAATCACACACTCTCAATGTTTCTGCCATCCCCATAACAATCTTTCACTTTATTATATCCGAAAGCTCTGTTCCGGCATATACACACAGGTGCAAGCCTTCCCATGAGCTATCTTCAATATTTTAGTTTCTGAATGTTAGGTTATTGCATAGACATTCACACTCTCACTGTTTCTGCCAACCCCATAACAATCTTTCACTTTATTATGTCCGAAAGCTGTGTTCCGGCATGTGTCAAACTTATATAATGTTTTATAACGCCTTTTCTCCTGATAATACATGTCATTCTATCATAATGGCCATTTTCATACAGAGGGCCGAGTCAGGCACAGAGAAGGCTAATGGCGGCCCGAGAAGGGCTTCTTGGAGCCCTCAAAAAATCGTGAAGAAGCTCAGGTGCTCCTCTGTGTATTATTTCAGGCAAAAACGGGCACCTCTATAAGCTAGCTGGATAGCTTCCTCATATGAAAGAATCCGAACTCCCTGTCCGGATTCGAACCCACAGCTGTAAGGGGCAAGTGGTTTGAAGTTAATGACCTATACAACTCTGCCAAGGACGCCCCCTTTATATTAATGTAATTTACATGTAAACACAAAGATACTTGTTCTGATCATGTGATGAAAGAATCTGACAATTATTGATGTTTTATCGAAACATTTACAAATAATATTACACTTACTCTATGATATTTTCTAAACCTGGTTTCCTTAATGTTTTTGGTTTTATGCTACACCAAAGGTGAGCATATGATGAGCATTTAGTCGCCCCTTTGTCCATCCGTCCATTTGCTTTTCTTGTACAGGACATAACTCGGAAACAACAAAAGGTATCAACATGATACTTTGTAGGTATATAGATCTCATTGTGTAGATGAGCAGTGCTAAAGAACCGTAACTCTGCCTTGCCTAATTTTGGAATTATTGCCCTTTGTTAATTTTTTTACTTTGCTTAAACTATAAGAGATATCAACATGAAACTTTGTAGGTAGATAGATCTCATTGGGTAATCCTAACTCTGCCTTGCCAAAGTTTGGAATTATTGCACTCTGAACTTTGTCTAGGACATAACTCTAAAACTACAAAAGTATACTTTTCTGTTTCCAAAACTTATTCAGAGACATCACCCAGTTCAACCGGCTTGTGTTTAAAATGACAACTCATGTCGGCTACACATACATTTTAATATTTGATATTATAATAACATAAAAGTTATTTATAGAATGTTGAATTTTCAGACTGTGGCTTTCTTCAGTGCTGTTGATATTGACCAGTGTCTGCGGAAGGAAGTAAACCTAGATTGTGTCACACCATCAAACCCACACGGACTTGAAAAGGGCTATGATATACCACAAGGTTAGATGTTAAATCAAATTATAGTTCAATTTTGATATATTGTTGATGGTCACATTTCTGACTGGCGGCAGACTAAGTCAAAATGAATGTTTCATTGATATATTGTTACGAGTTTACAAATACATATACATTGTATGTGGAATTTTAAAACACTGATGGAAGTATTTGATTCCTCTTGGAGATTACCACCAATTTCATTTGGAAACAAAGTGATCCTACGATCTTTTATTTAAGAATGAAGGATGACGTAATTTTTGTTGTAATATATATTTTCTGTCCATTGAAATAAACAAGGGAGATACCTAAGCTTGGTAGGGGTCAAGTTTCTTATTTATCTAAACAATATTAACTATTTTCTATTTCATAATATTTTTACAGAAAAAAATAAATAATGAGAACAGAGATCAGCAAGGCAAAGGCAACACTCATATGACATGTTTTCCGTCGGCTGTAATAAGCACGGGATACATATTAAGTAACATGCATGTAGAAGAAAAAATTCTAACCAACTATCAAACTTTGTGAAAATGAGGGAGCACTGTTTTATTTTTTGTAGAAAAATGTGTTTTCCGTTGACTAATAAATTCGGAGATTGGCGAGTAAAATTTCTAAACTCTATTCATATTTCATCGTAGATTGTAAAAATTTGGGGTGCTGTTATTTTTGCTGCAAGACATGAAATAAACATGGGGATGTAGTAAGAAATGTACTGTTAAAATTCAAAACTGTATAATGTTGATCATTAACGAAAGAAATATCTTTTATATCAAAGAGAAGGCATCCTCAGTAACCCAGACCGTATACTGGTATTTAAAAGTAGTATTTACGGATAGTGTACCTTGGGTTCTGGCGGTGAGAAAATAGACAATTAAAATTATTTTAAAAATGCAAGAACTGCGTATAAATTTCTTATTCTTCATGTTAAAATAAAAGCATATCCATGGTCATAGACTTATGTAAGTTTTTTTGTTTGTTTACTTTTTTCTTTTCTTAGATATATTTGTTCTGAACCCTGCATTGCCCCGCGAAACACGGATGACTGATTTTAACGATAATATGACTGCAATCGTCGGTTTTTGGTCCGCGGTGGAAACAACTAGACACTGTGGATCGCGGGGGAAATAACTGTTTTTATTGCGGACCTCCACCGCATTTGTTCGCGGTAGAAAAAGATCATCCGCGTTGGTATCGCGAAAAAGGCAAAATCCGCGGTGAGCTTACTGTATGTTCATATAGTAAAAATTTTAAAATCTTATTGTCTGAAGATACAAGGCTTAGAGCTTTGATATTTAGTATATGATATCATCTAAAGTTACTCTACCAAAGTTTTTCATATTATGCCTCTAGTGTCAAAATTAGCCCCGCCCCAGGGGTCATAGGTTTTCCTTATATGTGCAACCGGGGGCTGCCTAGGGGCTGGGCTGGCTGCTGCTTCACTGTGCTGGGGTTGCGGCGGCCCTTACTGCACGTCACAACTTCTCCACTAATAACAGCAACACTGTACGGGAACCTAGACCTCCAGTAGAGCTATGCGGTACCGGTTGTTTAAGCTGTGGGGAATTAGCCGAGGTCTAAGCTGAGTCCCGATACAAAATATAAAGTGTCCACCCCAAGCAGTAGGTCACGTAGTTTACTCTACTATCAGTATGTAGAGTGTGATAGTAGATATCTTTGATAAAATGAAGATGTACACAAATGTTCCTAATTACTTTTTCAATTTATTGATTTCATTTATGTCACAGTTTAATAATATTATATTCCATACAAAGTTTCTAAAAGTTCCTTTTATTAAGATATATTAAGTCCACAATGTTTCTGATCAAAATGTTTCCAAGATACTTTCAACACACTTTTACATTTATTCTGATTCCTAATAATTCTTAAAATTCCAATTCTTTCTAATCATTCCTAATTCTTAAAAGTTCTAATTCCGTCACCCTAAAGGCTAAAGATTCTAATTCTCAATTCTCTTTCTGTCACCCTAAAGATTCTGTCTTAACTTATTTTTGTCTCTCTTTATATTATATTCTCAAGTATTATTAATTTAAATAATTAATTGATTAACCAATGAAAATTGAAAAAATATTGACCAATGAAAAATAGAAAAGTATTACATGATGCTTAATCTGGATAAAAATTATCTTATGAAAAAAGGTATAAAACATATCCTGTATGTTACATAATTTCCTAATAGCATTAATTGCTAAAAGCTATAAAGTATTATAAATAAATAGCACCTAAACCAAAAGGTGTTTATAAGAGTAATAAATTTCTAAAAGTGAAATAATCTTCTTAAGTGTCAAAAAGACTGACATATGTGATATGTAATAACTTAGATAAACTTTACTAAAAATATGCCTTATGGCTTTTTACACCTAAACAGTAAGTTAATTAACAATATGATTATGATTTCAAAACATTACATTAAATCTGAAAATAAAGCATTTATCATAAAACATTATAATAGATTACATACACACTCACATTCATACATGGAAATATTATTATTATTTGCATTTTCTTTTTGTTATTTTATAATTTTATTATTTTTAATTTGATTATTTTATTTGCATAAAAAACTGGGGTCAAATATGCCCTTGGTGGCATATGTATATAGTAAAAACTTAAAAAAAATCATCTTCTCTAAATTGACAAAGGCTAGAGGTTAGATATTTTGCATGAAACATTGTGTAGTGAACCTCTAACAAGATTGTTCAAATTATAGCCCTGGGTCAAATTTGGCCTCGCCCTGGGGGTCATTGATTTTAAGTCACTATGAACATATAGTAAAATTAAAAATCTTCTTGACTGAAGGTACAAGGCTTAGAGCTTTGATATTTGTATATAATATCATCTATGGGTCCTCTACCAAAGTTGTTTAAATTATGCCCCTAGTGTTAAAATTGCCCCGCCCCAGAGGCGATAGTTTTCCTTATATATATATAGTAAAAAACTTGAAAAATCTTCTTCTCTGAATTGACAAAGGCTAGAGGTTAGATATTTGGCATGAGACTTTGTGTAGTGAACCTCTACTAAGATTGTTCAAATTATAGACCTGGTGTCAAAATTAGCCCCTTCCCAGGGTTATTCATTTTCACTATGTACATATTGTAAAAAAGTAAAAAATCTTTGATGTTTGCTTTATAATATCATCCATAGGTCATCCACCAAAGTTGTTCAAATTTTGCTCCTGATGTCAAAATTTGTCCTGCCCGGGGGCATTGATTTTCATTATGTACACATAGTAAAAACAGAAACAAAAACAAATGTTTTCTTAATAGGAGAAAGCAACAGCTTAGATATTTGAAATGATATGTTGTTTGGTGGACCTGTATCAAGATTGTTTGAATTAAACCCTTAGAACAAAATTTTGCCTTGCCCAAGGGGACAGTGACCTACTCTCTTGTCCTTTGATGAACAGCCATGAAATTTAGACTATGTGCACAGTTTTAAAATTGAACTTTGATATCAGGTGACCTAGATTTTGATGATGTGACCTACTTTCTTGATGTGCAACTATGAAATTTGAACCATATGCACAGATTAAGGCGTAAAGTGAACTTAGATATCAGCTGGCCTAGATTTTGACAAAGTGTCTTTTTGTGTTGTTCTTTGATGTACAGCCATGGAATTTAGCTATGTGAAATATGACCTTCACCACCAAATTTACTAGACTGAACTGCATTGATATATTCCTACTGTGATGTTTTATTTGAATAACAGATTTAACCACTTATCTGATAATAAGAATTAGATAGGTCAGTGATGATATGCATTATGGCATTTCAATAATCTTCAGTTGTGTAGAAACAAAAAAATTCTGTTCCAACATTACTATTTTGTGTTTTATTAATGCGGTGGCATAGCTTTTTTTACGGAGGAATCTTGTTTATATATATATAAAGGAAGGGAGTTACAAATGATTGAGCCTTAATATATTAGGAATTTTCTGCAGAATTTTAGTCAAGGTATCAGGGCTGAAAGTAGTTCTTGCTGATCATATGATCGTAGTTGTATATTTTCCATATTAGTGACAGGGTGTTGCATATAATCAGGGAGGGACTTATTTACTAAAATAGCTGTTTTTATATTGAACCATTTCAGAGAATTTCATTCAGTTTCATTGTAAACTAAAAACATCAGTGGGTGTATTAAAGTCTGGGTCTAAAATTATTCTTGCTACATGTCATTTAAGAGTGCTTCAATTTCCCCCAAATAGTGTAAAAGTAGTTTAAATGTGAGGAGTAATGTATTCATTCAAGAACATTTTTAGCTCGACTATACGAAGTTTATGGAGAGCTGTCCTACTCGCCTCGGCATCCGCGTCCAGATTTTAGATTAAAGTTTTGGTGCTGTAAAATATTTTTCGCAATAACTTTTTCATTTCTTAAGGTATCAACTTCAAACTTCAAATATATATTCCTTATCGTCAACCACATCTTATGTGATAAGGTTCTTAACTCTAACACCAATATTTTTAGATTAATCTCCCCTTGAACTTACAATTTTTCTTAAAAAATACTTTTTTTTACTGTAACTTCTTTATTTCTTAAGGGATCAACTTCATACTTCAAATATATGTTCCTTATCATTAACCACATGTTATGTGACAAGGTTCATAATTCTAGCACCAATATTGCAAGAATTATCTCCCCATAAACTTAGATTTTTTTACTTAAAAATGTTATTTTTTACTATATCTTCTTTAGTTTTAAAGATATCTACCTCAAACTTCAACTACTTATTCCTATCATCATTTACATCTTATGTCACAAGGTTCATAAGTCTTGAAGCAATATTTTCAGATTTATCTTTCTTTGAACTTAAGATATTCTTTAAGAAATATTATAACTTTTTTACTTTTTAAGGTATCTACTTCAAACTTCAAATATATATTTCTTATCATTACACACATGTTGTGTGACAAGATTCATAACTCTAGCGTGACTCTTTCCAGAATTATTCCCCCTTGAACTTGGAATTTATGTTAACAAATGTTATTTTTTTACTTTAACTTGATGCATAATTATACATAATTGATTTTTATTTCATAGTTTTGTCTTCCTTACTGCGTCCAGTATTTTATTAGTCAAGCTTTCCTGTCTCTTGTGATAGCTCTTGTTCTAACTTGAAGTCTAAAAAAGTGTTAATACTAGTTTACTTTTATTCATAAAGACTGATGATCATGTTAAATATGTATGCAGCCTCATAAAGTAAACAATGTATATTCATTTTAATATTGCAATCAACCAAGGAAAAGATTAAAATGAACTAAATGTGACAAGGAATGTACATTTTAACATTAGTAAGTAAGTAAGTAAGTAAGTAAGTAAGTAATGACTTTATTAGTCCCCTACCGGTTTACCGGAGGGGACTTTAGGTTTACCCTCCGTCCGTCTGTCCGTCTGTCCGTCCGTCTGTCCGTCTGTCCGTCCGTCTGTCTGTCAGTCCGTCAGTCCGTCCGTCCACAAAACTGGATCCCGCGATAACTTGAAAAGTACTGAAAATATTTATATGAAACTTGGTATATGGATAGATGGCAGTATGGAGATTATGCACGTCTTTTTCTTTTCTTCCTATGTTGAAAATTCTGGTTGCTATGGCAACAAATAGGCTAAAAATATGGCAAATTTTACACATAAACTGGATCCAGTGATAACGCAAAAAGTACTGGAAATATATTTATGAAACTTGACATATGGGTAGATGGCAGTCTTGGAATTATGCACGTCTTTTTCTTTTATTCCTATGTTGAAAATTCTGGTTGCTATGGCAACAAATAGGCTGAAAATATGGCAAATTTTACACATAAACTGGATCCAGTGATAAAGCAAAAAGTACTGGAAATATTTTGATGAAACTTGACATATGGGTAGATGGCAGTCTTGAGATTATGCACGTCATTTTATGTTCTTCCTATGTTGAAAATTCTGGTTGCTATGGCAACACATATACTGAAAATATGGCAAATTTTACACATAAACTGAATCCAGTGATAACTCAAAAAGTACTGGAAATATTTTTATGAAACTTGACATATGGGTAGATAGCAGTCTTGATATTATGCATGTCTTATCTGTTCTTCCTATTTTGAAAAAATATCAGTTGCCTTGGCAACAAATAGGCTTAAAACATGGCAAATATAACAATATTTGTGATAAGTCAAAAAGAGCTGAAAATTTTTATGAAATTGCATCTTTAAGTCAAGAGTTATCTCCTATTTAAGAATTTTGCTTTTAAAATGTTATATTTTGGTAACAGGGATGTTTCAAATTTTAACTTTAGAGTGTCCTTCCGTCTGTCTGTCTGTTCATAAAAACTGTTTCCTGTGATCACTTTTAAAGAACTTTTCCAACAAGTTTACTTAAAATAGAGAAAAATTGAAACATAAGTGAATGGCCAATGGCCCTTCAGAATGTTGATGGGGTTCTAACCGGTAGGGGACTTATGGATTGCTTGCAATACTATGATAATTGCTTGTTTAACGAGGCTTACACATTCAGTTTCCCGATCTTCTATGTGGGCCTCAGCATAACATTATTACAATCAGTTTACATGTACACAACATATACACAACATATATACACAAATATTATTAAAATAGATCTATTAAATTGAAGTAATGATTGATAAAGCAAAAAATGATATGATTGTACAACAATACAGAGAAAAAGAGCAATATGTACAGAGAGGTAAAACTAACATAGTACCTGTTTAAAACAATATTTAGTACCTATTTAAAACAATATTTATACTTATAAATACACCATGGCTATTCAAATGATAATTTAAGTGATATTATTATCTAATACATATTGGCTCATGAGTTATTTTAAAATATAACTAAAATATATCTATATATATATACATAAATTTAAGTTCATTGGAGTAGGAAATCATCAGTTGGCATCATTGAATCGTAAATTTTCCTATTGGGAAAATATGGGACAAAAGTAAAAGAAACGATAACAATAGTAATACATATAAGTAATTTATACAACAGGAATATATCAACAGCTAGTTTAAGGTGAAAACTGCCATTTGATATAAGCTGATTGAAATTTCCGAAGAGTATCGGAATTTCTTATATGTACTGGTATGTCATTCCATATTTTTGGTCCAGAGTATGCAAATGATTTTCTGAAGAATTCTGTTTTAGGTTTTGGTATAATTAGCTTACTACTTAGTACTACTATTATCAAAACACTGATCTTGTTTGAGTACCTTTTGATAAGATTGTAGTTATCATTGTGTAAAATTTGTCATGGGATGATCATGGGATGATCATATGATGCTCCAGTTATCATAGATAATAATGATTTAATGTTGCCATTACTTTTAATATTGAAAAAAAAAAACACAATTAAGTTTGGGTTTACCAAAGTACCTGAATTATGGCATATTCTATTGGAAGTGATTTCAGTACCTCATTTACTGAAGTTAAAGAAATGTTCTGTGAGTTTTGTAATAAACATGACAAGCAATATGTTCCTGCTGAGGGATTTTGTGCGAAATGTTTCGAGTACTTGTGTGGAACTTGCCTTAAATACCATAGAGTATACAAGAAATCTCATACCATTAAGGATAAGGATAACATGCCACAGGATTTCTGTTTAGAGAAATGTTCTGTTCATCGAGATGAATTGATCAAGTTCTATTGTCAAGCTTGTAAGAAATTTGCCTGTACTGAATGTAAGACTCAAGACCATAGGAACTGTTGTTTTTTCGTCAGCCATTTGTCAGTTCTTGTTCAAGGGATTGAAAAAAGCGAAGAAATCAAAGAACTTAATGAAAATCTTGATGAGTTAATGAAAGATTTAAAAAATACAGAAAAACATGTGAACATAAACCTGAAGGAGGTTGCTTCACGAGAAACAAAAATATTAGATACAGTCATGAAAAAAAAGCAAGAAATATTAACAGTGTTTGAAAAATATCAAAATAAAGTAATTCAAGACATTGACAAAAAGATAGAAGAAACCTTTAAAAGGTTTGAAGAAAAGAAAAAAGAGAAGATTGAAAAATTACGAGAACATCAAAATAGATTAGAAAAGTTATTAAATGATGAGGAAAATGAAATAAAAAAGAAAATTGAAAACATAAAAAAGAATGACAAGAAAGTTTTGAAGACAATCATTGAAGAAACTTTCAAAATGAAAACAAAACTAAACACATATCAACAGAGTTGGTGCATCAGCAAAATACAAATCAAAGATGTCAAATGTTTATTGTTATGAAGAATGGGCTGGAAGTCATTGAACAATTGAAATCAGATGCAGATAACAATGTAAAAACAATTCAATTCATTATTACAAAGTTGAATGCAAAGCTTCTGAACAAAATATAACCAATTTACAAGACTGTGACAAATTTTTCACCTATGAAGAAAAACATGAAGTACCAAGAACTGCAAGTTATTACACAGATATTAAATTCACATGTCTTTTACCGTCATCTTTATGTTTATTATCAGAAAACTGTCTTCTGATAACTAACTATAACTCTTCAAAACTTGTTATATTCAAGGATATGTTAGTCAGCACTACATCATATGATACAATAGACCTGCCTTCATATCCTTGGGCTGTTGCTAAAGTTGATAATAACAAAGCTGTTGTCACATTTCCTGAACTTGGAATAATAAAACTGATAAAATTTTCTAAGTGTATGACAGTGACCAACATTAAAGATATGAAAGTAGGAAAATGTTGTGATGGTGTGGCATATAGTAACAACAAGCTTGTAGTGTCTTACCTAACCAATTCACCTTCAGTAAAAATACTTGACATGTCTGGTAAAGTATGGAAAAAATGTGATAAAGATCATCATGGGAAATATCTGTTTGCTGATCCTCGTTACTTAACAATCAGTGCAGACAACTCTGTTATATATGTATCTGACATGGGGAAGAACTGTGTGATAGGTTTAACCTTTGATGGGAAAGTCAAGGCCATTTACAATGATGACCAGTTGAAGGGGCCAAATGGACTGACTGTAGATAGGTCTGGGGCAGTGTTTGTATGTGGACGTTGGTCACACAATATACATCAGTTATCACCTAACCTTACCAAGGTTAAGATTGTACTGGATATAAAACAAGGAATAAAAAGTCCAGCAGGTATGGCATACTGCCAGGATAATAGCAGATTGTATGTGTGCAAACAATATGATGACATTAAAGTGTATGATTTATCTTTGGGATAAAGCACTGGAATAAAATTAGTTTTCTCTGAATGACCTGCAGAAAATACCAAAGTTAAAACTATTTCAATATAAAATCTTACTCAATATCTTTGCAGATATGCAGCTTGTAAATGATCAAACTAGCTCAGACTTTGTGTTATTATTTCAACAAATATTTACGCTAAGTTTTGAATATAAACATAACATTAATATATATATAAAATATTATAAAGATGATTTGTTAGGGCTTTTTTTATCAATTAAAAAATTATTCTATTAGTGTGTTCCTTGTCATATAGCCATTATTTGCATATTTTTAAGAATCCATTACAATTAAACTTAACAATTTGTGAGTGAAAAATAAGATTAGTTGGTCATAGATTTTGAAATAGATGGTTGGTAACATGATTGGTATCGTAAACATCTGATTATTAACCCCAACCAGTCATTCAATATCTTCATAAGACTTGTCCATTTTCAATCTGGACAAAACTATCGTTCACTCAGACTACTGTCCACCAGCTTAGCTGAATAGGGAGAGCATTGAATAAGTAATCTAGGTTTGCTTATTTGATTCTTCAGCAAGGTTTGATTTCTCATTGACAATGGATCTGAGGACTGTTCATTTGTTTCTGTCTGTCTCCGCTGATTCAGAAATCATGAGGACTGTCAATTGTGGATTACAAGTTAGTTACAAGGAAATCCAGTTAGGTTTGATCAACCACCAAGATATGACCAAGTAATGTGTTAAAATAGGTGTTAAAGAACAATAAAACAAACAAACCATGCCAGTCTAATCTACTTTTCATGTTTTTACCCTTCACAATTTTGTTAAAGCCAGCTCAATTTAGGTATGACCCATGTAATTTAGTAGCTTTATAATTCATAGTTATATGAAGTTTAATTTGAAACTGGAAACATCCATCTAGAGTAAGGAACAAATTAACATTGTTATGATCATAGATGGCACTTTGTAACTGATTCAGTCTTAATGGCCATTAATAACCTAGTCTCTGGTCAATCCATCTCTCCACTACCATCTTTTTGGCTTGCAGCCACGGCTGCAAGACATTTGTTTTGGAAAAGTTGTTCCGGTTAGGTGGTTTCCTGATTACATTTGTTAGTGCATGATTGAACTGGAAACCAGCTGCAATTGTGCCAATCGCAACTTTTCGGCCCTTTCCGTCACTCTTCGGATTAATGATAACAGCGAGGTATATCCGATTGCAATAATGACAATTCGGGCGATTCCATCATACTGCGGAATCAGACGAATTAATATTACGGAAATCTAAGCTATTTTAGTTACTTCGGTAATCCCAGTTTGTTTATATAAATACGATTTGTATTTTTACTTGATTCCGTTTCAATTCTTTTTTCAAGACGCAAAAGTTAGTTTCTTTTATAATTGGTTTTTGTCTTTATTAGTTTTATACAATAGAAATGGTTACTGTAGTAGTATTCCGTCTCCAAAAGGGCGGTCCTGCTTACCAATAGATCGTGACCGGATCACGCATGATCAAGTTATATTTAGATCTACTGACAGAGTTTAAACGTCTTGTTAGGTAATCTAAAAATAGCCCATGCATATCATAATTCAACCTTATCACGTGCTTGATCTCCTGTGTTGTCGGTATATCTGTTGATCATAGATATTTTAGGTTAACATAGTGATACATGCTTTATCATTAATTGTACACGTAAGGAAGTCTTTTAGTGCATTTACTTGTCTATATATAAAGCTGCTTATATAAATGAAATTAGCAAACTGTCAAAACGAATGATTCTCTCTGCACAAAAAGTGGAAATGAAATGCGCACACTTGTTTCCCTTCAGTATGATAGATTGATCTCCACGTGAGAGCCAATGTTAGTATTTTTACGACTGATTATTTTCTTTATTAGTTTTATACAATAGAGATAGATATCGAATCATTTTTGACAAAAAAAAATATTCGTTTTTACAAAAAAAAAGTTTTACTGTTATCGTCAGCATTTTCCCGTTCAGTTATAATCAGTGGACTTCTGGACCCTATTTGGTCCAAATTTGCACGCATAACACTGGTGCTCAAACAAATGGGCACAGGTGCTCGTCCAGTCTTGGGCTTACCCTACCTATCCCTTTAAAAGTGAAACTTTTCTTTTTTTCGAGAAAAAACTAAATAAACCCTTTATGATATACAAATGCCGTAATTAAAAAAAAATGTGATAATAATTTGAAAAAAAAAAAGATTAAAGGGACTTAAGGGATGATGCTGGGACATACGTATGTCCCAGGATGATGGCACAACTGAGCAAGCCATTCCTTTTAAAAGGAAACTTTATTTAGATTTCATATTGTATGTGGAAAACCTCCCAGGTTTGGACTTAATGTCACCTTAGTGCAATAACTGGTTAACTCCTGTTAAATCATTAAATAAGAAGTTAGAGCATTACTGCTCTATGGTGATGTAATATGTTTTGTGAAAATCACCTAAAAATGAGTAGAAATCGCGCGAAAATGTGACTATGGAAAAATAAGGAAATGCCAAATTGCTGTCTGAATTATGCATTTCCACTTAAAATGTCAACATTTTTGAAAACCCCCTTTCGGTGAAAATGACTGGATCTTCGTCTGCCCAACATAGTTTATTATAATTTTTAATTCAGTATATATACATATAAATAATAATAGTATAATAATAATAATATAATAATGAACAACTTGTTTTAAGAATGCACCAAGACATGGTAGAGTCTTTCCTATAATGAGAGACTCACAAATTATACCATGTATACAGTTACAAACAAAAATGTTTTGAATGAACTACAAATTTTGACAAATGTTATACAAAATACCAAATGCAATCTTTAAGCTAGTTAAATAAGCTATTGAAAATATCACTATGTATTAGATATCACAAAAATTAATTAGAATGTGTAACAATGTAAGTACATGTATCGACATTTACTTTTAACCCAGACATATAAACATTGCTATTTGAATTTTTAACACTGATGGAAAGTATTTGATTCCACTGGAGATTACCCACCAATTTCAAATACATTTTTTTGAATGATTGTTTTATAGAATATATATAATATATATTATATATATATATATATATATAATATATATTATATATAATTATATATATATATATAATAATATATATATATATATAAAGAAGTGAGGAAACAAATGATTGGAGCTTTTGAATATATTTAGGAATTTTTCTGCAGACAGAATTTGAGTCACAATGTATCAGGGCTGAAAGTAGTTCTTGCTGATCATATGATCGTAGTTGTATATTTTCTCATATTAGGACAAGGGGTTGCATGGTAGATCAGGGAGGCGAAGCTTATTTACTGAAATAGCTATTTTTATATTGAACCTCAATTTCAGATAATTTCATTCAGTTTGATTGTGAATTAAAATCAACAGTGGGGTGTGATCAAAGTGTTGCTGCGTACATGTCATTTTGTAAAGAGTGCTGCAATTTCCCCCAAATAGTTGTAACAGTAGTTTTAAATGTGAGGAATAATGTATTCATTCGAAGAACATTTTTAGCTGACTATACGAAAGTATATGGAGAGCTGTCCTACTGGCCCCGGCGTCTAACAGTAGTTTAAATGTGAGGAATAATGTATTCATTCAAGGATATTTTTATTACCTGAAGATTTAAAAAAAATAGTTTGTAAATGTTACTTTTATTCATAAAAACTGATGATCATTTAAAATTTGTATGCAGCCTTAAATGAATAGTAAACAATGCATATTCATTAAAAAAGCGCCCTGAAAATATAAAAGAAATTCATGTGACAATAATAATGAAATCACATGTGAGAACAAAATTAATGTACAGTTTAATATGTGTACACTTATGATAAGATTGCAGTTATCATTGTGTAAAATTTGTCATGGGATGATCATATGATGCTCTTGTTATCATAGATAGCTATGATTTAATATTACTTAATATTTAGTACTTAATATTTAGTATTACTTTAAATATTGAGATTGTTTTAAACAAAACACAAGTGTTGGTTTACTTAAGTACCTGAATTATGGCATTTTCTATTGGAAGTGATTTCAGTTTACAAAATTTAAATGTGGGAAAATATACACAAATTTCAAAATATTACAAGAACATGACAGTTATATTTTATACGCCCGTTTGAAAAAACGGACGTATTATGGGAACGCCCCCTTTGGCGGGCGGGTGGGGGGGGGCGGCGACGTCCAATTTTGTCCAGAGCATATCTCCTACATGTATGGAGGGATTTTAATGAAACTTCATAGAAATGTTCACCACTATGAGGAGCAGTGTCACGCACATGAACCCAGGTCTCTAGGTCAAAGGTCAAGGTCACACTTAGAGTTTATTGAAAAATGCTTGTCCGGAGCAAAAAACTTCCACAATGTATAGAGGGATTTCAATATTACTTGGCACAAATGTTCACCATTGTGAGGCTGAGTGTCGCGCGCAAGATTTCAGTCTTGCGGGCCAAGGTCAAGGTCACACATATGAGGTCAAAGTTCAGATAAAAATTATGAAGAGTGGTATATGGGACCATTTAGTCAGTCATTTATTGAGGATTGTCACAAATGGTCATTATCAAGACTATGGCTGTGATACATTATAATTTAGGGTCAATATATACAAGGTCCAAAGGTCATTAAAGGATGACTTGAAATAATCCAGATTTGTCGGACATATCTCCATAGCATGTATGGAGGGATTTTAATGAAACTTCATAGAAAATGTTCACCACTATGAGAGGACGTCAGTGTCGCGCTCATGAACCAGTCTCTAGGTCAAAGTCAAGGTCACACTTAGAGCTCATTGAAAAAAGTGCTTGTCCGAGAAAAACTTCCACATGTATAGAGGGATTTCAATATAACTTGACACAAATGGTTCACCATGTGAGGGCGGGAGTGTCGCACGCAAGAATCAGTTCCTTTCGCCAAGGGTCAAGGCCACACATAGAGGTCAAGTTTAGATAAAAAAAATATGAAATGTGTATAGGAAGATTTAATCTCATTTATTGAGGGATTGTAACACAAATGGTCATTATATATGACTACGGCTATGACCACATGTACTGTTAGGTCAATATATGCAAGGTCAAGGTCACTAAAGAATGGTGAAATATCCAGATTTTGTCTGGAGCATATCTCCTAACATGTATGAGAGAATTTTTATAATACTTTATGGAAATGTTCACCACCATGATATGTATTGCTCATGCATGATCCAGGTCTCCAGGTCAAAGGTCAAGGTCACACTTAAGAGCTCATTGAAAAACCTTGTCCGGAGCAAAACTTCTACATTCATTAGGGGGATTTCAAATATGACTTGGCACAAATTTCACCATTGTGAGGCTGAGTGTTGCACGCAAAATTCAGATCCCTGCGACCAAAGTCAAGGTTACAGATAGAGGTCAAAGTTCAGATAAAAATTTGAAAGATGTGTATAGGGACCATTTAGTCATCATTTATTGATGGATTGTAGCACACAAATGGTAACTATCATGACTACAGGTGTGACACATTTAATTTAGGTTAATATTTGCAAGGTCAAGGTCACTGGAGATGATTAAATATCCAGATGTTGTCCGGAGCATATTTTCTACATGCATGGAGGAATTTTAATGTTACTTTATAGAATTGTTCACCACCATGAGAATGAGTGCCCTGCACATGAACCAAGTCTCTAGGTCAAAGGTGAAGGTCACAGTTAGAGCTCATAGCAAAAACGCTTGTCTGGAGCAAAACTTCTACATGCATAGAGAGATTTCAATATAATTTGGCACAAATGTTCATCATTGTGAGGCTGAGTGCCGTGCATTATTCAGGTCCCTGCGACCAAGGTCAAGGTCACACATCCTATGCATATCTTCCCTACTGATTTGTTTTAAGGTTCATTTAACATAACAGTGCCAAGGATAAAAACTTGCTTGCTAGATAAGACTTATCCATAATGCCCCCATCTCAATCTAAAGCTTACGTAAATGGGCGTATTTTGTGACTATGGCACCCTTGTTTATGTATAGTTATTTTGCATGAAAAATGAGTCAAAACAAATTTTACATCTTGTAAAGTTTAATCAGTTGTTGAATATTTTGTCATGTGTTTTATAATCTTAAGACCAAGTAGTAGTTTATCTTAACAATTGCTATTTATATATCCCTTATCAATAACATGAAAAAGCAAATAGACACACATATTAATAAATCTGTCAGTGGATAGATTTATACTTCCTTATTTGAACCATTTTAAACAGATTTAGATAGACAGTACTGTGTAGTAAATTCATGTTTTAGATAAAAAAAAATGGCATATTCCAGGATAGACTTCAGTGCTTCATTTACACAGGACTCTGATGAAGTTCAGGAAATGTTCTGTGAACATTGTGATAAACATGACAAGCAATATGTTCCTGCTGAAGGATTTTGTGAGGAATGTTTAGAGTACTTGTGTGCAATATGTCTGAAATTCCATAAACGATTATTAGTTTCTCATACTATAAAGGATAAGGCTAACATGCCACAGGATTTCAGTCGAGAGAAATGTACTGTTCATCAAGATGAATTGATCAAGTTCTATTGTCAAGCTTGTAAGAAATTTGCCTGCACTGAATGCAAGACTCAAGACCATGGGAACTGTAGTATGATCAATCATTTGCCAACTCTTGTTCCTGGGATTGAAAAAAGCCAAGAAATCAAAGAACTCACTGAAAATCTTGATGAGTTAATGAAAGATTTGGAAAATACAGAAAAACAAGTGAACATACACATGAAATATGTCGCTTCACAAGAAACAAAAAATTTAGAGACAGTAATGAAAAAAAAGAAAGAAATATTATCAGTGTTTGAAAAACATCAGAATAAAGTAATTCAAGCCATTGACAAAAAGATAGAAGAAACCTTAAAAAGACTTAAACAAGAAAAAAAAGAGAAGATTGAAAAATTACAAGAAAATCAAAATAGATTAGAAAAGTTATTAGATGATAAGGAGAATGAAATAAAGAAGAAAATTGAAATAATAAATAAGGATGACAAAAGAATTTTGCAGGCAGTCACAGAGGAAGCCTCTAAAATGAAAACAAGACTTAAAGCCATATCAACAGAGCTGGTTCATCACCAAAATACAGATCAAAGATGTCAACTGTTTGTTGTTATGAAGAAAGGTGAAGGAGTTGTGGAACAACTGAAACCAGATGCAGGAAAACTATGTAAAAACAATTCAATTCATTATTACAAAGTTGAATGCAAAGCATTTGAACATAAAATTACCAATTTACAAGACTGTGACAAATTTTTCACTTTTCAAGAAATACACGAGTCTTTAGTACCAAGAACTGCAAGTTATTACACAGATATTAAATTCACATGTGACTCCTTGTCATCTTTATGCTTATTATCTGAAAACTGTCTTCTGGTTACTTATTTTAGTTGTAGTAAGCTGTTTATATTCAAGGATTTGTTAGTCAGCACTTCATCATATGATATAATAGACCTGCCTTCATACCCATGGGCTGTTGCTAAAGTTGACAATAACAAAGTTGCTATCACATTTCCTGATCTTGGAATAGTAAGACTGATAACATTCTCTAAGTGTATTAGAGTAACCAACACTGAATATATAAAAGTAGAACAAGGTTGTCGTGGTGTTGCCTATAGTAACAACAAACTTATAGTATCTTACACTTTTCCAGCTGCAGTGAAGATACTTAATATGTCTGGTAAAGTATTGAAAACATTTGATAAAGATCAGCATGGGACATGTCTGTTTGTTGAGCCGCGTAACTTAACAATCAGTGCAGACAACACAGTTATATATGTATCTGACTTTAAGAAGAACTGTGTGATAGGTTTCACATTTGATGGGAAAGTCAAGGCCATTTACAAGGATGACAAGCTGAATTGGCCTTATCAAGTGACAGTAGATATGTCTGGGGCAGTGTTTGTATGTGGACTTTTTACACACAATATACATCAATTATCATCTGACCTGACCAAGGTGAAGATTCTACTGGATGTAAAACAAGAAATATATAGACCAACAGGTGTGGCATACTGCCAGGATACAAACAGATTGTATTTGAGTCATTGTGCTGATAACATTAAAGTGTATGATTTATCTTTGGGATAAAGCACTGGAATAAAATTATTTTTCTCTGAATGACCTGCAGAAAATACCAAAGTTAAAACTATTTCAATATAAAATCTTACTCAATATCTTTGCAGATATGCAGCTTGTAAATGATCAAACTAGCTCAGACTTTGTGTTATTATTTCAACAAATATTTACGCTAAGTTTTGAATATAAACATAATATTAATATATCTATAAAGAATTATAAAGATGATTTGTTAGGGCTTTTTGTATCAAATAAAAAAGTTATTCTATTATATTTGTGTGTTCCTTGTCATATAGCCATTATTTGCATATTTTTAAGAATCCATTACAATTAAACTTAACATTTTGTGAGTGAAAAATAAGATTAGTTGGTCATAGATTTTGAAATAGATGGTTGGTTACATGATTGGTATCATAAACATCTGATTATTAACCCCAACCACATTCAATATCTTCATAAGACTTGTCCATTTTCAATCTGGACAAAACTATCGGTCACTTAGGGAAAAAATTTAAAATATGTACTGACTGAATAGTGAATAGTTTGATCAACCACCAAGATATGACCAAATAATGTGTTAAAATAGGTGTTAACGAACAATAAAACAAACAAACCATGCTAGTTTATTCTTCTTTTCATGTATTCACAATTTTGTGAAAGCCAGCTTAATATAGGTATGACCCATGTAATTTAGCAGATATATAATTTATAGAGGATATTGAAGGAGTGTAGGTTTAATACTAAATTCATGGAACGAGTTGAATACCCTTATGGAATTCACTTATAAGTCACTTATAGGCTATTTTATATGTAGATTATACTTCACTTAGTCAATTTACCTATAAGTCAAGTATATGTATTTGAAATGCAAATTAGATGTAAGTGCAGTATATGTCTGGCATTTTGACATATAAGTGAAGTATAAGTTATATATAAGTCACAAATATGTGACATGTAAGTCAAAGATATGCTCAACTTATAAGTAACATATAAGTGACTTATATGTTACATATAAGTGACTTATATGTTACATATAAGTGACTTAATATAAGTCACTTATAAGTAACATATAAGTCACATGTAAGTCACATATATGTTGCTTGATGTCAAAAATGCTAGAATGAAAATAAAAGTTAAGTAATTTAATTTCAAAAATGTTTATTAATTTATATTCTTTGTCATATAAATGAGCAAAATACAAAATTCAGCATACATATCCTTCAGTTCAATCATCTTACATTCACTATAACAAAAAACAATATTTATTTCTAGCAGCAAGTTTCTGTAGGTACTGGTTTTCTTGGAATTAAACACTTTGTTTTTTACAATTATTTTGCTGGAAGTCTGTCAGTGAGAAACTTTTCAAATCATAAATTTGTTTCAAATGTTTCTGATTATTTAAACTACTATTTCTTTTATTGATGTCTGTTTCAGTCCTCTGATTCTGTTTCCTCGGAGAACTTCATGTGGCTGTGTTCACCTTTAAAGATAAAATTCATAATTAATTAAAAAAAGATGTGGAATAAATTGTGTACTATTGTATATGCAGTTATATTTCATATATTTTATATCATCAAACTATATTAGTATTTATGCTTATGCATATACAAATATACTAAGTTACACAGTATCTCATTTCAGTGCACAAGTCACCAGTCTCTTATAAGAATTGATTAACTGCACTTTTTGCAACAAAATTTATTATATTTTTTTCTGGGAAAGATTTAGAGCAGTATTAGTATAGAGATTAAAAAAATATACCTTTTCAGGCTCCATACTGCATATTATTATTCACCTGGCATCTCAAAGTAAGAACTGCGTCCACTAGCCTGCAATGTATGTAAATGTAATATCAGATTTCTCCATTGAAAACAACAATAAAATGATAAATGATTATGATGACCTCGTCTTATTCAGCTCATAAAACTTTTGATTGTACTATTTAGTCCTAATAATTCAAATCATCTTACAAATTAATTTGACTATTAAATATAGATTTAAATCAATTACATTTATTAGTAAATCTAATGTATGAAGCTTAGAAATAAAAACAGCCTTGATCTCTCAAGTTACAAATTTTAGTTTGCTGCCATCTTACTTTGATTGTTTAATATATAACCTGTATCTGCATAAATGTAACTGAAAAGAATTTACCTGATCCTGTTGTATATCTTCTTGTCCAAGTTGATTCTTCTTGTCATTCTTATTTACCCATTTTATATACTTAACATCTTAAACAAACAATATCTCTAAAATTCCTAAAACTCAAGTAGATTTTCTGTGATTTCCACCAGCTTGCTAACATTTATATGTTTTAGATTAAACTGTATACCTGGGCAGGTCAATAATGTAAAAGGGTAATCCAAAATCAAAGCCACCATCACTTTTCTATCTTACAATCATTGATGTGAAAAAAATCAAATTAACTAAAAGATATGTAAATTTTAAAATCATTATACATTTTTGAAAAAGAAAATGCAATGTTTCCTTTTTTACAAATTCAGGATAGAAATGTTATCATTCCCCAAATAATCACATGGAACGTCTTGATTGTACGACATGGACAGTCAGAAAATTAGTCTGCACAAGATGTGGCAAGCAGGCGGCCAGTTTTATCAGACCTCTGATCTATGTGGTGTTAAAAAATCAGTGGATGTAGAAAATATATGCAAATCATCAGCATATTTGGTTCCTTGATTTTATATAGATTAAAAGGGCAATATAAATGAGTTTATTTCAAGCACTGTTTTTTTATTGTTTAAATATCTAAAATACACTAGGCCTAAATGTCTTAAAAATAACACTTGTATATTAAAAAATACACCTCTTTTTCTTGTTAGAATATCTTACTTCAGCAAAATTAGGTCTGTATTAAGTACAGTAGGTAAAAATGTATAGATTTCAATGTCTGTTTCAAGTTTGAAAAAAAAACAAGAGTAGAATTATATGCCTTGGATGATTTTTATGTGAAATATTTTTTCCTTGTGAGAAGAAATAACACAGAATTTCATTTCTGTCCATGGTAGCCTAGAAATCACTGATTGAATGCCATTTCTGTCCCAATTCCACACAGAATCTGTGCCAAAATTTTTTACAGGTAAAATACTTTATTGATAATCATTTTTCCTATTATCTTATTTAAAAAAAAACCCAGCTGTGTTCAAAAATTAATAAGCAACATTTAAAAAAAAATCTTAATTTTTTGTGATTAAGGTCTAAGATTATAGTATTTTAAATTCTGAGTATTTTGATACCCATTGTGTTAAAGCAAAGACTTACAAATCAACTTCAATAAATTTTATCAATTTTTCTCATGTTTTTGTACTTAGTAGTTTTTTCAGCTTTGCTCAGTAATAAAAAGTCTTGCAAAAGTTCTAAGTTTTCACTTATATCTAACATAGAAACTGGTTACTTCAAACTTCACCAGTATAAGGCACTTATAAGTGACTTGTATGTGACTTACATGTTGGAGAAAAATGGCCAAAAGTGACTTATATGTAGCATATACCTATAACTGACTTAGACAGGTTTTTAGGTGATTTATAAGTGACTTATATGTAACTTATAGTTCTCTTATAGGTCAAGTATAAGTTGCATATAAGAAACATATAAGTCACTTAAAGTCATTTTGGTAAGGGTAACATCATATTATGCGAGCCTCTGGCGAGCATATCATATTATGCGAGCCTCCGGCGAGCATAATATTGTTTTATTCAACAAATTCAATAAATTAAGTATTGAATCTACACAAATATAATATTCTATTTTATTATATATCTAAAATAAGAATGGTTAACTGTTAAAAAGGCTCATTTTTCATTGACACGCCTATAGTGCAAGGCTAACATTAATACACTTGTTACTATATGTAGTAACAAAATCGCCTATGATATTAAGAGATTAATACACGGCAGAGTAGGGCCGGAAGGTGATTATCGGCCCGCAAAATGAATAATGGCCCCGAGGGCTTCAGCCCGAGGGCATTGATCATTTCAGGGCCGATTATCACCTTCTGGCACAACTATGACGTGTATTAATGTCTTTAATACACTTGGTAGATCTAATAGAAGCATTAAATTTCAATAGATAAAAAACTGTGTTTGTACGAAATAAGCTTAAGCTCTCATAATAAAATCAAGCAATTCGTGCTAAAAACCTACTTTCACTTTTACAGTTAACTGTTTGATGACATAAAAACTGACGTCATTGTTTCAGTTTGTGCACGTGCATTAGTTCTGCGGGCTGATAACTAGTTCTCGGCCCCGGGCTGTAAACTCATAATAGGTCATGTGACACTCATATCAGTTAAAATCATGGGCAATTTTGTTACTATTTATAGTAACAAGTGTATTAACAACTGATTATGAGTGTCACGTGACCTATTATGAGTTTGCGGCCCGGGGCCGAGAACTTGTTATCAGCCAGCTTAACATGTGCACGTACACAAACTGAAACAATGACGTCACATTTTACGTCATCAAACATTTAACTGTAAAAAGTGAAAGTAGGTTTTAAGTATGAATCGCTTGATTTTATTATGAGAGCTTAAGCGTATTTCATACACACACAGTTTTATTACTATTGAAATTTAAAGAAATAATACGACAAATTCATTCCGAAAAAATGAAATACAGATTCTACAGTAGTCTAGTGTACTTTGAACATACAAAAAGTAAACAACTCTATGGAAGTTACTGTACTGTACTGTAATGTACGGTAGACAGGAATTTCAACGAAAGAAAAGTATTTTTTTTAGAAAAATTCTATTATTAGATCTACCAAGTATATTAAAGACATTAATACACGGCAGAGTAGGGCCGGAAGGTGATAATTGGCCCTTATTGGCCATTATTCATTTTGCAGGCCGATTATCACCTTCCTGCCCTACTTTGCCGTGTATTAATCTCTTATTAGTGCGCTTTTACGCTATGTGTATATATAACGCAAATGACGTCACGTCAAAGTGTTATTACACTAGTGTAATATTGTTTTTGTTAAATGGCTTTATTACACTCCTGTCCTACGGTTTATGGGATAAATAGTTGCATGAGGTTTAATTTGAAACACAGGAAACATCCATCTAAATTAAAAAGTTATGATCATAGTTGGTGCTTTGTAACTGATTCAGTCTTAATGGCCATTAATAACCTAGCCTCTGGTCAATCCATCTCTCAACTACCATCTTTTTTAAATTTCATATTGTTTGTGGGAACCCTCCCAGGTTTGGACTTAATGTCACCTTAGTGCAGTAACTGGTTAACTTCTGTAAAATCATTAAATAAGAAGTTAGAGCATTTACTGCTCTATGGTGATGTAATATGTTTTGTGAAAATCACCTAAAAATGAGTGGAAATCGCGCGAAAATGTGACTATGGAAAACTAGGAAAATGCCAAACTCTGTCTGAATTATGCATTTCCACTTGTCACAATTTTGAAACCCCCTTCAGGTAAAATGACCTGGGTCTGTGTCTGCTGCCAACCATAGTTTTATTTTTATTTTTAATTCAGTAATAATAATATAAATAATAATAATAATAATTATAATAATAGACACTTATTTTAAGATGCACCAAAGACATGGTGAGTCTTTCCTATAAGAGACTCACAAATTTACATGTATACAGTTACAAACAAAATGTTTGATGAACAGCAAATTTTGACAAATGTTATACAACATACAAATGCAATCTTTAAGCTATTAAATAAGCTATTGAAAAATATCACTATTAAGAAAGTAGAATGTAAACAAAATTAATAAGAATGTAAACAATGTAAGTACATGTATGACATTTACTTTTAACCAGACATATATACATTGTATTTGGAATTTTATAACAATGATGGAAGTATTTGATTTCCACTGGAGATTACCACCATTTCAAATACATTTTTTGAATGTTGTTTATAATATATATTTGTAGGGATTAGGGTGTTCCTAATGCTGGTTTTTTTTATATACATGTATATATAAAGGAAGGGAGTTACAAATGATTGAGCCTTAATATTTTAGGAATTTTCTGCAGAATTTGAGTCAAGGTATCAGGGCTGAAAGTAGTTCTTGCTTATATGATCTTAGTTGTATATTTTCCATATTAGTGACAGGGTGTTGCATATAATCAGGGAGGGACTTATTTACTAAAATAGCTGTTTTTATATTGAACCATGTCAGATAATTCATTCAGTTTGATTGTGATTTAAAATCAACAGTGGGTGTATCAAAGTCTTGCTACATGTCATTTAAGAGTGCTGCAATTTCCCCCAAATAGTGTAACATTAGTTTAAATTTGAGGAATAATGTATTCATTCAAGAACATTTTTAGCTCGACTATACAAAGTATATGGAGAGCTGTCCTACTGGCCCCGGCGTCTAACAGTAGTTTAAATGTGAGTAATAATGTATTCATTCAAGAACATTTTTAGCTCGACTATACGAAGTATATGGAGAGCTGTCCTACTGGCCCCGGCGTCTAACAGTAGTTTAAATGTGAGGAATAATGTATTCATTCAAGAACATTTTTAGCTCGACTATACGTAGTATATGGAGAGCTGTCCTACTGGCCCCGGCCTCTAACAGTAGTTTAAATGTGAGGAATAATGTATTCATTCAAGAACATTTTCCTTACTTGAAGATTTAAAAAAAAGAGTTAGTTAATGTTACTTTTATTCATAAAAACTGATAATCATTTAAAATTTGTATGCAGCCTTAAATGAATAGTAAACAATGTATATTCATTTAATAAAAGTTATCAACCGAGGTTGATAACACCCTGAAAAGATAAAAAAAAATTCATGTGACAATGATAATGAAATCACGTGACAACAAATGTACATTTTAACATTTGTACTACTATTATCAAAATACTGACCTTTTTTGAGTACCTTATGATAAGATTGTAGTTATCGTTGTGTAAAATTTGTCATGGGATGATCATATGATGCTGTAGTTATCATAGATAATAACGATTTAATATTGGCATTACTTTAGATATTGAGATTATTTTAAACAAAACACAAGTGTTGGTTTACCAAAGTACCTGAATTATGGCATTTTCAGTTGGAAGTGATTTCAGTACCTCATTTACACAGGACTCTGATGAAGTTCAGGAAATGTTCTGTGAGGTTTGTGATAAACATGACAAGCAATATGTTCCTGCTGAAGGATTTTGTGCGGAGTGTTTCGAGTATTTGTGCATGACTTGTCTAAAATACCATAAAATATATATGAAATCTCATACCATCAAAGATAAGGATAACATGCCACAGGATTTCTGTCTAGAGAAATGTTCTGTTCATCAAGATGAACTAGTTAAGTTCTATTGTCAAGATTGTAAGAAATTTGCCTGTACTGAATGCAAGACACAAGATTATCGGAACTGTAGTTTGGTCAGCCATTTGCCAGCCCTTGTCCCAGGGAATGAAGAAAGCCAAGAAATCAAAGAACTTAATGAAAATCTTGATATGTTAATGAAAGATTTGGAAAATACAGAAAAACCTGTGAACATAAACATGAAATATGTCTTTTCACAAGAAATAAAGATATTAGATACAGTCATGAAAAAAAAGAAAGAAATATTGTCAGTGTTTGAAAATCATCAGAAAGAAATGATTCAAGACTTTGAGAAGGAAATTGAAGAAACTTTAAAAAGACTTAAACAAGAGAAAAATGAAAAAATTGAAAAATTACAAAAAAATCAAAGGAAATTAGAAAAGTTATTAAATGATGAGGAAAATGAAATAAAGAAGAAAATTGAAATCATAAAAAAGGATGACGTGAAAATTTTGCAGACAATCATTGAAGAAACCTCTACAATGAAAATAAAACTAAAAGCCATATCAACAGAGTTGGTGCATCACCAAACTACAGATCAAAGGTGTCAACTGTTTGTTGCTATGAAGAAAGGTGAAGAAGTCATTGAACAATTGAAACGAGATGCAGATAAACAATGCAAAAACATTTCAATTCATTATTACAAAGTAGAATGCAAAGCTTTGGAACAAAATATTACCAATTTACATAAATGTCACAATTTTTTCAATTATCAAGAAATACATGAATCTGAAGTACAAAAAAGTGCAAGTCATTACACAGATATTAAATTCACATTTAACTCCTTGTCATCTTTATGCTTAATATCTGAAAAGTGTCTTTTGATTACTTATTTTGATTCTAGTAAGCTGTTTATATTCAAGGATTTGTCAGTCAGCACTACATCATATGATACAATAGACCTGCCCTCATACCCTTGGGCTGTTGCTAAAGTTGACAATAACAAAGTTGCTGTCACATTTCCTAACCTTAAAATAATAAGACTGATGAAATTTTCTAAGCATATGACAGTGACCAACACTGAAGATATAAAAGTAGGAAAAGGTTGCCGTGGTGTTGCCTACAGTAACAACAAGCTTATAGTATCTTACACCAGACCAGCAACAGTGAAGATACTTGACATGTCTGGTAAAGTACAAAAAATATTTGATAAAGATCAGTATGGGACATATCTGTTTGTTCAGCCTTATAACAGTCAGTGCAGACAACACAGTTATATATGTATCTGACTATACTACAAGCTGTGTGATAGGTTTAACCTTTGATGGGAAAGCCAAGGCAATTTACAAGGATGACCAGCTGGATACGCCATGTCAACTGACAGTAGATAGATCAGGAGCAGTGTTTGTATGTGGAAGTTTGTCACACAATATACATCAATTATCACCTGACCTGACCAAGGTGAAGATACTGCTGGATAGAGAACAAGGAATAGAATGTCCAGTAGGTGTGTCATACTACCAGAATAAAAACAGATTGTATGTGTGTCAAACTCTTGGTGACATTAAAGTGTATGATTTATCTTTGGGATAAAGCACTGGAATAAAATTAGTTTTCTCTGAATGACCTGCAGAAAATACATAAGTTAAAACTATTTCAATATAAAATCTTACTCAATATCTTTGCAGATATGCAGCTTGTAAATGATCAAACTAGCTCAGACTTTGTGTTATTATTTCAACAAATGTTTACGCTAAGCTTTGAATATAAACATAACATTAATATATCTATAAAATATTATAAAGATGATTTGTTAGGGCTTTTTGTATCAAATAAAAAAATTATTCTATTATTTTTGTGTGTTCCTTGTCATATAGCCATTATTTGCATATTTTTAAGAATCCATTACAATTAAACTTAACAATTTGTGAGTGAAAAATAAGATTAGTTGGTTATAGATTTTGAAATAGATGGTTGGTAACATGATTGGTATCATAAACATCTGATTATTAACCCCAACCACATTCAATATCTTCATAAGACTTGTCCATTTTCAATCTGGACAAAACTATCGTTCACCTAGGGAAAAAATTCAAAATATGCACTGACTGAATAGTGAACACTGCAGACCATATCAGATGACACAAATGTCTGTTGAAAGGAAACAGTTTAAAGTAATATATGATTTATCACTGTGGTAAAATAATAATACGATACCAACTAAACTCCAGCAGAAACATCATTGTCTCTTGCATGTTTCGGAGGATTCACCCCTTTACCAGATTTTAAAATATTAACTACAAACAGGTTATATATATGTATTTTAGCAAGTTGACACTATAAGCAATTTGATTTACTAATGAGTCTGCATTTTTTCTTTTTTTGTTGGAAACCAGCTTTAGATATAAGTTCAAGAGCTGCTTGCATTTTCTTTTCACTAATTTCAAGGCTATCTTCCTCTTAGAGAGGGAATGTTTTTAATCTTTTAGTTTTTCAATGCTTATCTTGTCAGACTACTGTCCACCAGCTTAGCTAAATAAGGAGAGCATTGGATAAGTAATATAGGTTTGCTGATTTAATTCTTCAGCAAGGTTTAATTTCTCCATGATAATTGATCAGGACTGTTCATTTGTCTCTGTCTGTCACCACTGATTCAGAAATCATGAGGGGTCACTTGTGGAGAAATTGGTAATTACAGGTTAGTTATCAAGGAAAGCCAGTTAAGTTTGATCAACCACCAAGATATGACCAAATAATGTTTTAAAATAGGTGTTAAAGAACAAAAAAAAAACAAACAAGCCATGCCAGTCTAATCTACTTTTCATGATATACCCTTCACAATTTTGTTAAAGCCAGCTAAATTTAGGTACAACCCTTGCAATTTAGTAGATATATGATTTATAGAGGATATTGAATGAGTGTAGGTTTAATACTTAATTTGTTGAACAAGTTGAATAAATTAGTATTGAATCTACACGAATATAATATTCTATTTATTACATATCTAAAATAAGAATGGTTAACTGTTAAAAAAGACCATTTTTCATTGACGGGCCTGTAGTGCAACGCTTACATAAGCACTCTTACGCTATGTGTGTATATAATGCAAATGACGTCACGTCAAAGTGTTATTACACTAGTGTAATATCGCTTTTGTTAAATGGCTTTATTACACTCCTGCGTCGGGTTTATGGGATAAATAGTTGTATGAAGTTTAATTTGAAACTGGAAACATCCATCTAGAGCAAGGAACAAATGAACATTGTTATGATCATAGTTGGCGCTTTGTAACTGGTTCAGTCTTAATTGCCATTAATAACCTAGTCTCTGGTCAATCCATTTCTCCACTACCATCTTTTTAGTTTTCATATTTTATGTGGAAACCCTCCCAGCTTAGGACTTAATGTCAAGTGCAGTAACTGGTTAACTCCTGTTAAATCATTAAATAAGAAGTTAAAGCATTACTGCTTTATGGTGATGTAATATGTTTTGTGAAATCACCTAAAAATGAGTGTATATCACGCGAAAATGTGACTATGGAAAACCAGGAAAATGCCAAACCCTGTCTGAATTATGCATTTCCACTTGTCACCATTTTGAAACCCCCTTCCGGTAAAATGACCTGGATCTGTGTCTGCCTGCCATATTTTTCTTTTTAGCTCACCTGTCACAAAGTGACAGGGTGCGCTTTTGTGATCGCGTTTCGTCCGGCGTCCGTCAGTCGTCTGTCCGTCCGTAAACTTTTACTATAAATGACATCTCCTCATAAACCACTTAGCCAATTTCATCCAAACTTCACAGGAATGTTCCTTTGGAGGTAACCTTTAAAGATTGTTCAAAGAATTTAATTCCATGCAGAACTCTGGTTGCCATGGCAACTGAAAGAAAAAACTTTAAATATCTTCTTTAAAAAACCCAAAGAGCTAGTGCTTAGATATTTGGCATGAAACATCTTCTAGTGAGTGTCTACCAAGTTTGTTCAAATAAAAGCCCTGGGGTCAAAATTGGCCCCGCCCCAGGGGGTCATTGATTTTCCCTATATGCATATAGTAAAAACTTAAAAAATCTTCTTTTAAAGAACCCAAAGAGCTAGAGCTAAGATATTTAGCATGAAACATCTTCTAATGAGTGTCTACCAAGTTTGTTCAAATAAAAGCCCTGGGGTCAAATAGGCCCAGCCCCAGGGGGTCATTGATTTTCCCTATATGCTTATAGTAAAAACTTAAAAAATCTTCTTTTAAAGAACCCAAAGAGCTAGAGCTAAGATATTTAGCATGAAACATGTTCTAATGGGTGTCTACCAAATTTGTTCAAATAAAAGCCCTTGGAGTCAAAATTGGCTCCGCCCCGGGGGGCATTGATTTTCCTATATGTGTATAGCAAAAACTTAAAAAAATCTCCTTTGAAAAAACCAAAATAGCTAGAGTTAAGTTATTAAGCATGAAACATCTTCTAGGAAGTGTCTACAAAGTTTGTTCAAATAAAAGTCCTGGGGTCAAAACTGGCCCCGCCCCAGGGGTGTCATTGTTTTTAACTATATGTGTATAGTAAAAACTTAAAAAATCTTCTTTTAAAAAACCCATTGAGTTAGAACTTAGATGTTTTGGCATGAAAACATCTTCTTATGAGTGTCTACCAAGTTTGTTCAAATAAAAGCCCTTGGTTAAAATTGGCCCTGCTGGGATGGGGGGGGGGGTGGGGGGAGGGAGGGCATTGTTTTTCATTATATGTGTGTACTAAAAACTTAACATCATGAAACATCTTCTAATGGGTGTCTTCCAAGTTTGTTCAAATAAAAGCCCTGGGGTTTAAACTGGCCCCGCTCCGGGGGCCTATATACAGGTGAGCGACCTCGGGGCCATCATGGCCCTCTTGTTAATTTCAATAAAGATATTTGCTCTCTTAATGAACCATCAAAATAATAAAGTATACTGTATCATCAAGTCCTCATTGATGTGATATAGTTATACTGAACATACATGATTGTATAAATTGATACAGTTGTAATACATGTATGTATATTTATCTGATAAAATTTTAATGTTTGTTGTGTGATAAGAAAAGGAAACTTGCCCAAACTAACTTTGTGATTACAGTGCACAACAACTTCAGCAAAAGAAACTTTATCATATGACTTTGTCCGTTACAGTATGACAGATAATCAATCTGACTAAAGTTCAGATCTACTTAAATTCTTTCATGTAGATCTGATAACGACGGTATATGTTTCGCCTTTTTTATAGTTCAGATTTCCCAAGAAAGCTATTTTAAGCCATGCTATCAAACCGGTTTTTACAGAAAGGCATAAAAAGAAATATCAAAATACTGTTATTAGTAGAATTTAAACAAATTGTTGATTTTTGTTAAAACAAATTGTTGATTTTTGTTAGAAAAAAAATTGTTTGAAGTAAATTTTAGCAAATTTACTTGAAATAATAGTTAATTTTTAATGGGAAAGATTGTTTTGCAAGTTTCCCTGTCGGCTATTTGGACAACGCCATGTTTGTACTCCATTTGAAAATTACCTACTCAGTATTGGTTTTCCCAGGGTTAAAATTAGTAACCGCATCGCTTTCAAAATAAGGAAAGCTCGCCGATGATTGGCAGCGTGTGAAAGGTCACCAAAAATGACTTCGTATTTGGTCACAGTCAGATCTAAAAGCGGAGAGTTATTTAGAGCTGATTTTAATCAGATTTGACAGATAAACAAATGTACAAGTCATGGAATTCATAATTGTGTTGAAAAGTATGGAAAACTTGTTGAAATTACCTGAACAACAGATAACTCATTAGGTTAATTCAAATTCATACCAACTATAATATAATCTAGTTCTATGATAAAACAAAAACATCTCCAAATTCATTTGTGATGAAAAAAGACAGGGAGTTATTCAAACTTATAATACATATTTCTCAAAAATCAACAACAATCAAAATAAATTCAATGTTTTGTCATTGTTGCAGAATTATCTATTTTATGCTTTTTTATTGGGAAAAATATATGGGTAACCTATGGTTACCAAAATTAACACAATTTTTTTTCTGCTTTTTAGTCCATGCTGAGACTATATAAGTGTGTTATGTTTTAAAAAGTTGATTTGCCATAGTTTCAAGACTTTGATTATAATTGTAGTGATAACCTTATCCCACAAGAAAGTTTATTCATAATGCATATAATTATTCAGATTTTTTTTCACCCAAGGGAGACAACAATAATTTTTTATGTATCATTATAAGTTTTATTGGTTAACTCCCTTTACAACTTTTTTCACTATTAATTTAGTTAACTTTTATTGATTTGTTTTATTGGGTTTTATGTCACACCAACACAGTATAGGTCATATGGTGACGTTCCAGCTTTACTGATGGATGAAGACCTCAGGTGCATTCTGTGCATTATTTTAGGCACAAACGGGTACCTGAGTAGAACCACCGATGTTCCGTAAGCTAGAGTTGAACTTCTGCTTACCAATAAATTGTTCAAGTCAAGTGATGACTTTAGCAGTTGTATAATTCTGTCCTGAATGGTAGCTGTATTGTTATTTTTTTCTGATATAAATATTACAATTAAAATATTGTAACCTAGGAATGAAGTTAAAGGAACTCCACAGAGGTCAAATATAAAATCTAATTTCTGAATTTCTAACATAGATCAGCTGGCGCACTTTAATACAAAAAGGTATGCATAAGATAATTAAGAAAAACACTCCAAGATAAATTGAAAACCATATTTTTTAGCTATTCTTATCCAGATTTGAGTGAAAAGCATTGCAGCACTTTTCAATTTTGGGTAATTTTTACAATTAGAATAATTATTCGGTAAAAAATCTGAAATTTCGCCGTCTTATCGTCTAGACCTACATCAAAAGGGACATTAATCTTGAAAAATGATTTCCAGTCTTGTCATAAACCTCAGTAGTGTCCCTTTAATGGGTGAAAGAAAACTGATGCTTGTCTTCAAATTATCTCATGGTAAGCAGCTCTGGCACACTCTTCAAGTGATCTTCAGAGAAAGCTGACTTAATGTAGGCCAACATTAAGCTAAACAGTCAGTCGAACAGCCTTTCTGAGCTTTTGTCTGGTTACTTTGATAATATCCATTGTAGGTTAAATATTTGTTAATTTAATCAAACTTAGCTACAACTTCAAAGCATATAGGGTAAAGCAAATTGTAAAATGAAATACCAAGAAAAATTCTTAGTGAAAATAAATCTTTGTCAATTTTAATTAGACATGATATATTTACATTTTATTCTGAAATTTTTTTATGGAGCTCAATAGGGATGATATTGAATTTATAATCTAGAGGTTGCTAAGACAATATTTCTCGATGACAATTGATCTCGAACATTAAGTCAAGTGATCTTTTGTCTCTTACCACTGATTCAGAAATCATGCAGGGTGAGTATTTGGTCACCTGGGAAGAAATTGGTAATTCCTGGAAAGTTATTCAGGAAATCAAGTAACCCTAACCCGGTCACTTGCAAAGAAATTGGAAATTACTGGAAAGTTATCCAGGAAATCAAGTTAGGTAGACTGACCACCGAGTTATGACCATACTTGACGTTATCCGGATCTTGGCAAAGTGGGTTTTTCCCAGCTAATCTGTAGGTACAGACTAACTTTTACCATTATAGCTTCATGGTGCACTGCCCGTCACAATAGATTTAAGTCAACTTGTTTCGCTTATTTTCAAAGCTGTTACTGTAAAAGTGTGTTTGTACCTACTTTAATAGCTGGGAAAAACCCAAATATTCTTAATTCCGGAGTAAGTCTATTGTGTTAAAACCAGCATTAAAAAACCAAACAAACATGTAATATTGTTAACATTTGTTAAATCATTTTGATTGTTGTATTTTTCAGGCACAGCTCTAGATATACACCAGATATTAGAGAAAACAGGAGGTAGTCTAAATAAAGATGTACTAGAGACTGAACAAAACATGACACAGTTTAACGATACTGAATTTATTGAAAGCAGTGGAGGCAGTTCCGAAGAGAATATGGAAAATAATGAAACTATCTCTGGGACAGTTCATGCATGAACTACATGTACTTTAATTGCTAGAGAAGATGCAAGAAATATGATTAATTTTGGACAGCTACTGATTTCTCCTTTATTTAGGGACATTCAGGTGCCTCACAATGTTAACAGTTGTTTTGAGTGGTATTTGGTACTGCAATGAAGCATAATTATACATGTGTATATTATTATACCCCCCAAATGAAGTTTAGGGGGGTATATAGGAGTGGAGTCACTCGGTGGTTGGTCAGCCAATCCAGCCGTCCGTTGCATTTTCCTTGTCCGGAGCATAACTTGAAGACTAATGGTTGAAATTCAATACAACTTCATACAATGGTCAAGCACATTGAAAGGAAGTGCAGTGCACAAGAACCATAACTCCATATTCACTAATTACAGAGTAATTGCCCTTTGTTACTTTTCCTTGTCCGGAGCATAACTTGAAAACTACTGGTTGGAATTCAAAACAACTTCGTACAATGGTCAAACACAATAAGGGGAAGTGCAGTGCACAAGAACCATATCTAAATTAATTACAGAGTTATTGCCCTTTGTTACTTTTCCATTTTTGTGCCCCCACTTTAGTGGCGGGCATTTAGATTTGCCCTTGTCCGTTCTCTTTTGTGTCGCACGTAACTCTAAAAGTATTTGACCTAGAGTCATGAAACTTAACAGGAATGTTGATCAGCTGGTGCCCTTGACTTAGTAAAAATTTGCAATTTTTTAACTTGTGTGGCACGTAACTCAAAAAGTATTTGACCTAGAGACATGAAAAATTACAAGAATGCTGCTCAGCATAAGTATGTAGTTGTGCACCTGGGTATTTTTGTGTGGATATATTTAGTATTTATAGAGTTATTGCCCTTGAATTAGTAAAAATTTCCAATTTTCAACTTTTAGTGTCGCACGTAACTAAAACATTATTGGACCTAGAGTCATGAAACCTTACAGGAATGTTGCTCAGCATTTGTAGTTGTGCACCTGGGTATTTTCATGTGGATATTTTTAGTATTTTTAGAGTTATTGTCCTTGACTTAATAAAAATTTACATTATTCAACTTGTGTTGCATGTAACTCAAAAAGTATTTGACCTGTAGGCCTGAAAGTTTACAAGAATGTTGGTCAGCATGTGTACTTATGCACCTTGGGGTTTTCTTTTGGATTAATTCAGTATTTGTAGTATTTGCCCTTTACTTAATAAAAGATTTTTAGTTTTTAACTTGGGCACATGTAGCCAAAAAAAAAAATTTGACCAAGAGACATAAGATTGACAAATCGGTTGAATTTGGGGGCGTCCGTGTCCTATTGACACATTTCTAGTTTCAATTTTTGTTTTACTTTATTTAAACCACCTGTGTCTATGCAAACGTAAATATCTTTGTTATTTTTGATCATCCCTCATATAAAAATTCTTTTGGAAAATGAAATCTTAACACAAAGAAACTTTATAGCAAAGAAAATAATACAATAATTTTGTATTTAAATAGACAAATAGAGCATTGTACTTTAATCAATAAGGCTGGAATTTTAGTATTATTCTGTTGTGTTTTATATTATGCTAATGATATTAAGACAAAGTGTTCATAATTTTGCAGTATATACTATAAGCATTGAATATGGGCATTTATATAAATATTTGTATTCAACAAGAATTTTTTGAAATCTTCACATGTTGTTAAAAACCAGATCTGCTTATGAAACCATAATTTCTGTGGTATCATTTTTGTTTTCTTGCCTTACTTGTGAGTTATATTTGTTTATACACATATATATGAATTTTTGAGTCAGTTATTTGCATTTTGTTACAATTTATATTTGTCATTTGTAATGTACTTTTTACATTTTTTGTGAAATATCTTATACAAGGTTAAGTGTTCCCAGTTAGCAATACATTGTATATATATTATACTGTTATTATAGTTACAACAAACTTTACAACATACTTTCATTTGAAAGATACTCTAATAAAGTGTTCACATTCATTAATAATTTTTTATAATCTTTTTTTATTTTTCATTAATAGATACCATACCAAGAAAATGTACGCTTCCATTTGACTGGTCATTTCAAATAATTATTGTCTTTTATGGACCTAGGGCAGCGTTTTACTAACGTACTTACGCCTAAGATTTGCGTAAGTTTAAACGTAAGCGTAAAGTTATGATAATTCTTACGGAAAAACTTATGTAATGTTAGTAAAACGCTGCCCTATAGTTTAATCTTTATTAATCAAATCTATGAAAAAATAAATAATAATCATGGCAGTAGCAAACATTATTTTATGTCTAGAAAGACTTTAAAGTAAGTACATGAATATTAATAATTCTATTTTATTACATGATATTATAAAGCCAAATATAAAAAAAACATCAGAAAAGGTGCAAAAGATGAGGACATTACCCATTTTTGTAACCAGGATTTTATTAGAAAGACCCTGATTTAACACGTAGTAAAGTTGATGATGCAGGAAATACAAGTGCTTGAAAATGTTTATTTTCTATGGTGTTACATGTTGTTGAGCTGAAACTGGTAAAACATACCAGAAGTATTTCAAAACTTGTATTCAAATTATGTTTTTTTTTTCATACCCTTGTTGTTATAATTACCATTTTTAGAGAAAGTCTTAGCAAAAAAAAAAGTGTCACATTTTTATTACAAGAAAAGGATAGAGCAATGGTCCCTAACATAATACATTCAGCATTGTTTAGGTAGGATATCATGCAATATCAAGCCAATTTGTTCATTGATTTCACCACAAATTTGTAGGTACTGACTTTTTTCTCATGTAAGCATATTTTAGACTTAATCCCCATAAAAAATACAATATTTTTCACACCAGCAAGATAAAAGTTGAGACATTTAAGTTAGAACAGCATTCTTTGTAGCTTTGCAAGCATCATTAAGGCTTTATTTAATACATCTTACAAGATTAGTGTGTTTTTAACATTTCACACAGGATTTATAAGCCTTAGAAGAGAATAGGTGATAAAAGTGTTACATAATAGATGTACTGGTATTTCCCATGACTCAACAAAAAGTATGATTGGTTGGCATTTATGTATGTATTAATTGTAAGCTCTACAGACTCGTGAAACATTTAAATATTAACAGTCTGATTGACTATTAGGATCATGTTGTGAAGAAGCCATTGTGGCTTTCAGTGTTGTTGTATTTTTCGACTCCTTCAGGATTATTGATTTAAATACTTTATTGTATAAGATTAAAGATACAGGTTAAGCCGGTGCTAGGGGGTAGGGGTGCTAAGGGGCATGAGAGTTTCTTTCCATTATCTCTAATGAACATACATACAACCAAGTCTGCAATTTTCCCAACAGAAATATGTGAAAAACATTTTCTATTTACATGAAACAATTGTAGATCAACGAAGTGTCAACATGGCTTTAATTGTAATTGATAATGAGCAAAAGTGAAAAATTTAAATAACCAGACCTGATAAATATTATAATTTCATTATTTTTATTGTTAAAGGGAATGATCCGAGCTTTTGTTGTTTTTGTGGGGTTTTTTTTACATGATGAGACTGAAAACATTTTTTGGAGATTGTTTATATTTTTATCCATTATAAGTTGATTTAATACATTGTAACAAATGTTACAATTTCAGGCATTTAATCCACAGTGGAGGTCTTGTTTCTGATGTTGTATTTGATTCCTGAAATCATTTTTTGTATTGATTCTGTTTGTCAAATGATAAGATATTCTTATTTCATTTAAGTTGTCATTATTGTTATGCTCATTATGTAGAATTATCTTGTCAAAGTACAGTTTAAAGTGGACTGGTCAATAATAGAATGTCTCCATGAAAATTATGTTGATAGTATTTATAGTAACATAGATGACAACAAACAATAGAAGGATTACACTTTGATGTTGTCTGTAATTGTAAGATACATTTCATATTTATTTACGGTCAATTATGCCGTAGAAATGCTATTAACTTTTAATTCTCAAAAACATTCAGTCTTTGGTATCTTGTCACAGTTTAAAAAAAAAATATCCTCAATTACCATATTTTCACTTATTTTGCTCTGTTTGCAAATGTAGCAAATTAGTATTTTGTGTGGAAGTCAAAATACTATTTTGTTTACATTTTCCTACCTTTACGACACATCACTGCATGTTCAGCGCTACTTATTTCAGTTGTTTAAATATCTAATTATTATGCTCTTAATCCATTATTCAAATATTACCAAACACATGTTTGGCATTTCTAAAGAATTTCAAAAATGCGTTAAGTGTTCTTTATTTTCCATCATTATAAATGTTAATATACTTAATCACTTAGAACTAGATCAACTTTTTTCTATCAAGAAATATTTTGTAAGAATGTCCAAATGGTCATACATTTCTATTGTTTTTAATCAAGATTTTAAATACTTTTTGAAAATGTACCCATATTATTACATGTAGACCAATTCAGTTTAAAAATGTACTTTTGAAGTCTGTTAATTTGCTTATTTAAATCTTTCCATTTAGAACAAATTGTAAACCTTGTTTTTTCTTTAATTTCCCTTGTTTATTCTTAATGTTTTTATTTGTTGTTGTTGTTTTTGTTTCTGAAAACAGTGTTCTGAAAATGTTTTTTTTTTAAATGTAAAAGCTTCTGTTCATTACCTTATTTGTAGTGTTTAGTTTAAGTCACATTATAATTTTTATACATTATGAAAAAGCCTGTAATATGTAACACACCGGTACTTTGATCATTGTGTTTATAAAGTTATTATGTATACATGTACATTTTGTATTTACATTGTATTGTTATAATTATGTTAACATGAAAGTAAAAGTTGATTTATATCTGTCGAGTGACGAATAACATGGTATTTTCAATAGTCATTTGCATTCCAATATACTATCCTTTTATACATACATCTCACAAATTATTTGCATTCAAGGCCATTCAATATGACTTACTAAATTCCATAAGTGAATTACTAAATTCCAGAAATTTTAAATCAGTGAATAGTCAAAGCTGAGGTCCATTGGTTGAATAAATATAATGATTTTAACAAGTTAAAGAAATTCTGATACAGCAAAATTATAATTATATCTAATTTGATTTTTGTAGTCACATTGATGTTATATCACACAAACAAACAGAACGGGTTTAGTTGCTCTCTTAAGTGGCCCACAACTGCCTCCGTGGTCAAAGGGTTAGAGTTGATGACTTCTCATGGATCAATCCATGTCAGATTGGCTTGGGTTCCAGTCTGTCGATTTTTTTATGTGCTGCCTTTGGGCATATCGACATTGATGTTATCAAAAACACAAACAAGTATGAAACAGTGTGTATATATTATGAATAAGCATAAAATATCAACGCCTGAATTACAGGCTAACTACAGGTACACATTGAAAACAAATTATATTATATTATCCTCTGGAAAAATTAAAACATTGCTGTTCAGTACCATGGTCTGCTGCTGGGCTTAAATCTTCGCCCTATCAAATGACATGTATCCCAAAAGTAAAAATTTGTATTAACAATATGGATAAAATAGAAGGGAAACAGTATACAGTTATTTCATAGGTGTTTGTGGAACATTAAAAACTGTTGCCCCGAGGTATCAGGGATGACATTTTGAACTGTTGCTAGAGGTTGGCAACAGTTCCAAATATCATCCTTGAACCTGAGATGTTAACAGGGGTGTAACAGCTAAAAATGTTGACAGTTCATTTCATCATTGCGCATGCATAGGATTTCACTTGTCAAATTAAACAGTTGAAAATCAGGAATTAGTATTTATAGACCGCATAAGGTATTGAAATACAATGATGCCTGTCCTTTTTTTCTATGATACTAAGATTAATAATATCTGTCATATTTTGCGGTTCGGATCGGAATATCCATCCCGAGGTGACCTGCCCATGGGCGGGTGACCGAGGGACGGATATTCCGATCCGAACCGCAAACATATGTCAGATATTTTTTCTTGCATATTCTACCATATTCCATTATACTTTAAATTCTTTATCTTTATTTTCAATGAAAATTTATATCATTACAACCGTAACTACTTTCTTACAACAGCGTATGAGTTACAACTTCATTCATAACGGTAAAATGACGTCATCCTAATCGTGCCATTGTACAGCACGCGACTCATCTGGAACCCCCCATGCCAGATGAAATTTCCGGCATGGGTAAAACTAACGGAAAAGCCAGTCTGATATGCAAGAAAAATACAATGTATAATTATGAAATTATCTGCCAGTTTATCCAAACAGATCTTCAAGATAATTATTTATTTTTTTGCATAATTATATATTTCAATAACTGTTAAATAATGAAACTGCATGAAAATAGACTACTCCGGAATTAAGAATATTTTGGGTTTTTCCCAGCTAATCCAGGGGTACAAACAAACTTACAGTTACAGCTTCGAAAATAAGCAAAGCAGGTTGACTAATCTGTCATGACCGGTATTGCACCATGAAGCTTTAAATTGGTAAAGGTTTGTTAACTTTGTTAGCTAGGAAAAACCCACATTTCCCAAGTTCTGGATAACATCTATTAAGATTGGCCTCAGTATTAACTGTTAAGTCATAACAATGCTTTTTTGAGAAGTAAGGTTTGTTAATTAAGAAATAGATTTCAATTTTGAGTGCACTGTTGATAGGTCAGAGTGGGTACATTGTGTACTTTGTAATTACAAAGTATTTCAACAAAAAAATGTGCTTGGGGCAGACCAATTTGACTCTTAATATCAGTTTTGCAGACCTTCATAAGGTTATGCTACATGCTAAATACCTTAGCTCTTTTTGCAAAGTAAAACTGAAATGTTTTTTAACTCATACCAGACTATCAACTGACCCCAGGGGTAGGGCAAACAATTACCAAAGTGGCAGGATTAATACCATAGGTCAACAAGGCATTGCTACAATATGTATCTTAACTCTAGGCATTATAGTTTCACCAAAATAAGACCCAAGGGTCATGATTAATAGCAGTTGTTTTGTAGTTACAGATGTTTCCTATACAAGTCACCTCTGGGGTGGAGCCAGAGAACCAGGTCAATAAGAATTGCTACATGTTAAATAGCTACACACAATGAAATTTAAATGTGTTTTCCTATACAAGTCTTTTTAAGTTATAACTTGGCAGGCTTGTTCCTTGGGTGAAGGACTTTTAAAGTTGTTCAAAGAATTTCATTCCATGCAGAAATCTGGTTGCCATGGTAACCAAAAGGAATTATGAGAATAAATTTAAAAAATCTTCTTGTAAAGACCCAAAAGGCCTAGAGCTTAGATATTTTGCATAAGGCATTGTCTCGTAGACCTCTAACAAGATTGTTCAAATTATAGCCCTGGGGTCAAAATTGGCTCCGCCCCGGGGTCATTGATTTTCACTATATGTGCATATAGTAAAAATTAAAAACACCTTGTAAAGACCCAAAAGGCATCTAGCTTAGATATTTTGCATAAGGCATTGTCTGGTAGACCTCTACCCAGATTGTTCATATTATAGCCCTTGGGGTCAAAATCGGCCCCGCCCCGGGGGTCATTGGTTTTCCTTTTATGTATATAGTAAAAACTTTAAAAAAGATTCTTCTAGCAATTGACAAATACTAGAGGTTAGATATTAGATATGTTGCATGAAACGTTTTGTAGTAAACCTTTAGCAAGATTGTTCAAATTATAGCCCTGGAGTCAAATTGCCCCAGCCCTGGGGGTCATTGATTTCAATATATACATATAGTAAAAAATCAAAAAATCTTTTTGTCTGAAGGTACCAGGCTTAGAGCTTTAATATTTGTTAAATAATATTATCTAAAGGTAATCTACCAAAGTTGTTCAAATTTTGCTTCTTGTGTCAAAATTAGCCCCACCCCCGGGGGCCATAGGTTTTCCTTATATGTATATGGTAAAAACTTAAAAAATCATCTTCTCTAAATTTACAAAGGCTAGAGTTAAGATATTTTGCATGAAACATTGTGTAGTGAACCTCTAGCAAGATTGTTCAAATTATAGCCCTGGGGTCAAAATTGGTTCCGTCCGGGGGGTCATTGATTTTCATTATGTACATATAGTGAAAAAATAAAAATATTTTTGTATGAAGGTACAAGGCATAGAGCTTTGATGTTTGATATATAATATCATTTAATGGTCCTCTACCAAAGTTGTTCAAATTTTTCTCCTGGTGTCAAAATTGGCCCTGCCCGGGGGCAATGATTCTCATTATGTACACATAGTAAAGACAGAAAATAAAACAAATGTTTTCTGAATGGGAGAAAGCTATAGCTTAGATATTTGACTTGAAATGTTGTTTGGTGGACCTGTATCAAGATTGTTTTGAATTAAACCCTTGGGTCGAAATTATGCCTTGCACGAGGGGACAATGACGTACTTTCTTGTCCTTTGATGTACAGCAGTGACATTTTGACCATGTGCACAGTTTTAGTTGTAAAATTGAACTTTGATATCAGGTGACCAGATTTTGATGATGTGACCTACTTTCTTTTCCATGAACAGCTATGAAATTTGAACCATGCGGTGGCATAGAATTTTTCTCAAATGCAATCTTGTTTCAAATTATATCAAGTACTAAAGCCAATCTTTGGTTCTCTTCATTTTTTTTATTCCAACAATTTCTTATAATAAAAAAATAATCTTTTTTTCAAGCCAACATTAAAAACAACAGTCCAAATGGGAGCATTTTGCAGGTGCGCGAGGATGTAGTATCCTACCATTGAAAAAAATATATAATTAAAAGATGAGAGCAGACTCAATTTCGAAATTGATAAATGACCAAGCGTGACTGATCCAAGATCATATCCCGGTACATATAAATGGTTACTATTACAGCTTCACCATGCACTCCTTGTCACAGATAAGTCAGTTGCACTATTTTTCAAGCTTAACTAAGTTTGTACCCAGACTAACTGGGAAAACCCAAAATAGTCTTAATTCCCGAGGAAGTCTTTTCCTTTCACCTATTTAAGATATAGACAGACAGACAACAGGTGCATAACTTTACACGCAAAGTTTTTTCAAATCTTATAATAAAAGGTCTAAATCTATCGATTTCTAATGAACTATTATTTAAGACGACGCATAAAAGTTGTTTTTTCGTCTACAAAAGCCAAGATTATGATGCAACATTTTGATCAGTTGGGTGCTTTTTTCTAAAGACCAGACATTAATAGAAACACAATTTATTAAAAATAATTTATTGTATAAAATATGTACAAATATTATATAAACAACTAGAAAATACGAAGCAATACTTCTCTAAATGCTACTGAGCTAAACCTAATCTACAGTACAACTTTCTCTGTATACCTGCAAGCTGACCACATGTGAGGAAGAGGCCACAAATAAACATGTAATTGTTCTGTGGATTTTTTTTGTTTTTGGTTTGAAATGCAGTCAACAAGGGTCACAGGAAAGTTGTACTCATACATGATCATAACAAATGGAAATTATATAACAAGGTCCTCTTGATTAAAAACATTGTAATTCTGGACATAAGATATATAAACAGAAATTTAACACAAACTACATTATATTGGAAAAAGAAAAGAAAAATCCCCCATCAAACTTTAAGCAATTTAAAATTTAAAGTAATTTTTCATGATTGGATACAGTCGCAGAATAAACTTGTTTGACCAATGGACCTTGTTAACGAAAATGAATCATCCACAAGCTTTGCAATACCCCCGAAGCTTTCAAACTCCCGAGTATACAAAGCGTTATGGCACACAAATACAAGCCAGCCAATCTATGTTCCAGCTAAAATCCTACCCACGAAACACCTAATTTAGAGAAATACTTTTAAGGATCATGTCAGTAGCAAAGCACTAGCTTACAAAGAGTAATCAATGAAAATTAAAACCATAGTAAGATAGCACTACAAATTCTACAGCAAATTTGATTAAAACCAAGGGGAACATAGATCGACACTTGGCTGTTATATATGAGCAAGAATAAACCAAATAAGTGACCAATGGATTAAAAATTTGGACGGAATATGTGGAGACAAAATATATTGGTTTAAAAGTAAAATCAGATTCAGTCTTGATTTATTCTTGCTCATGTTTAATTTTTGCATTGTTTTGTACAATGATTGTTCTTCACCAGAGCTCACTAAATGCAAAACCACCTATTAAATAGTGAAAACCAGGAAATATAAATTATCAACTCAACGGATCGCCTTCGAGACGATTTTTTTCACATGCAGAACAGATTAAACATTCATAAACAGCATTCAGTCACTATTGTGTCCCAGACCATTCACAACACCAACAACAAAATAAATAATAACGGAATGACATTGTCTCTTTGCATTCATACCATCACAGATCAATTTTAGAGTTTAATATCACCAGTAAAGCTTGGAATAAACACTACAATCACGTGCATGCAGCTGCCATTTCTTTTATCACAGGGGATTTCAATGCTGCTAATGTGCTGATCTTCATAAATTTTGAGCTAGAGTATTTTGTCCGCACAGCCTGCAAATACCAAACAAGACATTACCATAAATTTTCATGGAAATAATTTACAATTGACAAATTTACTTCAAGTATCGTGTTCCAAGAGATGTGTATTAAATAAGCATAAAATAATCTTGAATGCATTAAATTTCAATATCAACTGATCATCACATTCCTAAATGTTCATTAAACAATATATGAAAAGGTGGCACTAAATCCAGAGTGCAAACTAGTCTTTTGAAGGCAGTGTCAAAACAACCAGACTGCAAGATAATGGTTGAAATTGTTGACTAATAAAGTTAATAACAGGCTTTTATCTTTTCACTCCTATGAAAATTTGGAACATTTTCATTTGAGTAAACCACAGCAACAATCAAAACAACCTTAACCAAAAGGTCTTTTCATTAAAATTTTTGTACGGCTTTATAATACAGGTATGCAATACAAGATGCACACTGTCATTTTTTAAGATTAATAAATAGAAATACTTACAGTGAGTTTACTGTTTTCTGCTTTAATGACTAGACTGGCAAGTTTTTGCATTGTCTGGAAGAGATCTTTCTCTGAATAGGAACTGTAATGGTTCAGGGTTTCAGTCTGAAATAAAATGAAGACAAGTTTAATTACCATTTTGGTGTGTTACAACATAAAATAAATGTATTAGTTAGCCCTCAACTTTTCTGAAAGTGGTCACACCAACTCCAATTGAGGACAACATGCATCGTACATAGCTTATGTCAGCTTTAGTAGCAGCTTGCTGTCTTGGTCTATTAAATTCTAATAAAAGTTGGCTGTTGTAAAGTCATGGTTCTGGTGATGACTGCACAGGGCATTTTTCCGGGAAATATACGAATATTAGGCTAAGGAAAAAAAAGCCTTTATTCTGTCAAATATAAGAAAGAAAAAATTCTGCTGTTATATGAAATACAATGTACTCACCCATTTACTGTTATCAAGGAGTTTCATGGATAAACATAGTGCTGCAGCAGCTATTTGTGACGGCAAATATTGCACCATATCATACTCTACTATAGTCAGTTCCATCAAGTATTTGGCTAATGTGTGTTTGTTGGCATCAACCTAAGATAAAAAGTTCATTAAAATTAGTTTGCAACAGTTAACCTATACTTTAAATGCAAAATTTAATTCACTTTACCTCATTACATTTTACCAAGCCAGTTATGCCATATAGCACTGCACATTCAGGAATTCTGTTCTCTTCTTAATACCAAAGGAAATATTAAAGAAAAGTATCCCCACACATTTAAATATTTATGGGATCACCATTACTAGCAGTACTTTAACAACCGATGCAAATCAAAAAACTGAATTTCTACAAAATATAACAATTTCCATCTTAATCACAGTAACAGCTGTAGTATGAATATTCTTATTCACATACCTGACCAGCCTTTGAATTTCTCCTAAGGAAATGCAAACATAGAGGTCTTCCAAAACTAAAGTTTAATGTCTTTAATACAGTCTGTTCCATTTCTAATATTTCCTTTTTAGTATATGCATTGTCTGTAATATATACAAAGTCAGCAACTTCAGGGGCATACATTTCCTCGTATTTTGATGCTATCAACATTGATGTTACTCCAACGAGCTGTAATTTGTTTCTGGAAACTGGATTTTCCTGCAAGTGATAAAATCAGCATTTAAAGACAATGATATATCACTGTTCTAGAGATTGAGCAGCAAAAAAATAAAATCACATTTCTTTAAGTTCAAAAGCATCTTTTCATACTTCATGATGTTTCTTAGTGTATACAGAGAATTTACACATTTTTGAGTTCTCTTGCTTATTAAGTCAAATAACACTATTTAGGTGAAAGTATTTGATCAACTATTTTAAGTGGAATTCAACTTTTTTTGCCTTTTGCATTGTTCTCCTTTGCAATTATAGTAAAGACTACTACTCAACTTTTCCAAGTCAAAATGATAATGCTACATTTCTAAAATTGATACAAGAACAATATTTCATGAGAAACAAACCTGCAAGAATCTGTCTATTATGGCCACTGTGAGGTAAAGTGTTTCTTGTAACAAGTGAAATCTGTGATGAACTTGACACAGCCAATCTATCAAAATAGCACGCATCTTTCCTGTGATCTCTTTATTTTCTAAATAATTGCATTTGATTGGGTATTTTACCTAAAATGAAAAATAGAATCTTGTTACACAAATGTATGGCACTGTCTTTTTGAACATCAGTCCTACTTGTTTATTAAATGAATTTTTTAATATAAAAGGCTAATAAGTGCAATGAGCATTATTTTTATGTTAAATTAACTCTGAATTCATTTTATTAGAATACAAAGAAAGCAGTATTTTCACTTTGCTTAGAGAATCTTAAATCTTCCATTTGAACTTTTCAATTTATAACTTTATGAGTTTATCCAAGGCCAAATTATGTATAAAATATTTACCTCTAAAACTCTCATGTAATTGTAAATGTCATTGACATATTCACTGACTAGTTGTGGATTTTCTTTGTCATTGGCATCTATATCTTGTACATTAAATAAAGCCTTTGAGAAAGCCTCTTGTCCAGCATCACTTATGTCCATAGGAGCAGGAACATTTGGCTGTGGATGAACTGTTGCTGTTGGAACAGTGACAGGCTTTGGTACCGTCTCTGTTGGTTGTAAGAAGTGGAATGCTTCATGTTCCTGACAAATAAAAATACATTGCAATTTCCATTTTGTAAGTGAAATGCCATATCTTACAGAGATACAATTTATATTTAAACAAAATTCATTGCATTTCTTAACATTGTTAGTATGTAAATTCAAATAATTTTTTCTACCATAACATCACTACTAAAGTTAATTTGTTTTGTATTTAACAGCTTTAACAAAGAAAATCAATGCATTATCAAAATCGTGTTCATCTTTACATACCTGTTTAGCACCACCATCTTCAGCAAGGGCTTTAAGTGATGTTGTGGCTTTACTTTTAGTAAGAATTTTTTGCTGTCTACTAGTTAGTTGTACAATTTCTTTCTTGACAGGACCTTTTTTGGTTGCATCAGAAATGGAGATTGCCGAGACTTTGTTACCAATATCCCCCAAGGCATTTCTGTGGGAGGCATGTGATGTAAGAGGTCTTTGGATCATGTTGGATTTGGTTGCAGCTATAATCTGGTCTGTATTCTCGCTGTTTGAATGTGTTCGTGCATTCGCAAGGCTAGCCTGAAAGTAAAATGTTTTGAAATAAATACTGCATTTGGATCAGAACAAAAAATGTGTAAACAAATTTACGGATTATGAAATCCATCAAGAACACTATCACACACCACTTTATCCACTAAAGAAAAGTGATATTACACAGCTCTGCATACACATTTTGATGTGCCATCATTTGTGTTGTACAAACATTGTGTCAAGATTCAGGACAAAACATCTTGAACTTGTTGAAAAAAACAAATTGCCAGAGCCTCGCACAATTTTTCTTTTCTTCAACTTGTACATGGAGCTAAATATAGATATATCTTACTTGTACAAGAAATTAAGTTCAGTATTGAACCTACACTTCAATGTGCATACCAGAATAATTTCTTTAAAATATTTTACAGTGAAAAGTTGAAAATATCCAATATATGTAATTCTACCACCTACACAAACAGATTAACATTGTTATGCCATTACAAGTTTTGAAGAAAAAATCTGCATAAACTTCTTGCAGTACATAGTAAGATGTAGATTTTATATGTCTATATTTGCATTATAATAGGATTAAGTCAGAATATTCTCAAATAAGGGTTTCAATTAAACGTCGGCAACAGCTGGTTTATATTTTATTTTTAGAACGGTCTAATTCCAACAAGTGTGAACATGTTTTCAGGGAGGGTGGGATAGTTGCAAAGCCGCTTCTTTTAGCCCATGTTGTGCTTCATAGTGAAGTATCTGCACGATTCCGCAGTTAAAATGAAACAAAATGCTCACTATTACTTATAAAACAAAGCGGTCCTATCGTAAATGTTAATAACTTCAAATTAAAATTCTTGTCACGGTTCACCATTATTGATGCGATATGACCTCAAAGTTAATTTTGTCTGCAATAAATATGTTACAGCATTTAAATGAAACATAACTTACCGAAGCAGCTCTGGTAGTCATTTTGTGCTGTATGTAATATCAACAAGTGTTATACTAATTCTACAATGATGCTGGATGCACATTTACTGACATACTAAACAATCACAATCACACAACTAACAAGTCTCAGCGAGATTTGTTCAAACAACTCGCGGGTTGCTTTTGATTGGTCAATCAAAGTTCATAACATTTTTCTGATTGGCTGAAGTTGTTATTTGTTCGTAGCAACCTGATTAAAATTTCACCGATATTTTAAACGTAATTTCATTTTAATTAAAAGTTCATGGTTATCTAAAAATCAAATTTGTAATTCATTCATCAAGTCAAGAATAATTTTTAAGTAAATTATAAAAAAAAAATAATTTAGACGTGTTTTCCCATGCAACATCATTAAACATGGCTGACGCAGGTGCGATATAAAACTTCCGGTCGTAGTAAATTTGGTTTATGGAATAAATTTAGGTATAACTGCAAAATTAGATAGTGTCATGCAAATGCTAGAAGATATTCACTATTGTACATCATATCTCAGCCTGTATGGGCTGTTTAAAGATTTGACGGATTCTTTCTTTGACTAAAAACGCATTGAAAATAATGAGGTTGTCCTGTCTGGTTCCCAACTCTATTTAAATTTGTTGTTGAATGAATAAGTCAAGCCGGGCCAATATTAAAATGCACCAGTTTTAAAATGGTTCTGTTTCAACATATATTTATCTTTGTTTTTATTTGAATACATTTAATTAAATAAGAAAAAAAAATAAACATGCTGATAGAGGCACTGATATAAACATTTAAAAAAATCATATTTGCATTCATGATACAGTAATCATTCTGATCTACATGCAAAATGTTACTTATATATTCTGTAGGTCAAAAATTTATTAAGTTGCTGGTTTTTTTTCTTAATAATACAACTTAGACCTGTTTTCTCCAAGAAAAAATGTCAGTAAAGCACACTGTATTTTTTTTTAAATTTAATGTAAGTCAAAAGGTCTTGTCACTCTTAAGTTTAAAAAAAAGCTAAATATTAATTAAGAAATAAATTATATTTAAAATTTAATTTTATAGTAATTTACTTATATACATTTATCCCACTAGGGTCTTTCAAATAAATTAAAGGCCCTGATCACACCAATTGATTCCCTTTTAAAAATTTTTTGAAATGTATTTAAAAACCCATTTTTTTTTTTTGGCCCTTTAGGGGGGTCATAACTAAATTCCCCCACTACCCCCAAAAAAATTAATTTTGTAAAAATAGAATCATTTTTAAAACATAATAACTATCACTGCCTTCTAATTTAGTTTTGATTTAAAATATTTACAATTTAGGTAAATCATTCCTGTATAAAAAAAAAGAGTAAAAGCTCTAACTTTTGAAATATATTTTAATGTCTTTAGATTAAAAACAATGCATATATAAATCTTTTCAATTTAGTCAATTTTTTTAATATTTTTAAAATTGCACAAAATTCAAATTTAAAACTTTACAAAGCATAATTATACTTCCAAAAACAACTTACATGTAATATTATTTTTTTATTTAAAATTATAAAATATATGATTACACTAAATGTGAAAATCAATTTTTTTGAATTTTATATAATAAAACAACTTTTTATCATGTTTACTTTTAGGATAGGGGAGATATAGATTTGCCCTTGTATTATTCTGTTTGTCCATAGACTGACAAAATAGTGGAATAATATTGTCCTATGGACACGTTTCTTGTTCAATATAAGTAAAAGCTGCATGCCTCCAATGAGTCAAAATATTTCAAGAAATTCAATCTTTAGAAAAATGTATTAAGATCTTAAGAAAAGAAAAAAAAATCAGTATTAACTACTATTTAATTATTTACATGTTATGAGCGTTTAATAACTGATTTTGCAGTATCAATCATTATAATTCTACTTCCTTACTAATGCAGTATGAGGTATTTATGTATATTTTAACCTCTTTTTGGTAATTGACATTGATTGTAAGTACAGTTGTACTGTTTGCAATGTGTAAATTTCTTTCTTTGTTCACTTCACAATATTTAACTTTTAAATACATTCTCAAAATTTCATGAAAATTAGCATGAATCTGAAGACATGCTGCTTTATGAAGATAAACTAAAAAAAGTCATTTGCTTACCATTTTACGAAAGTCCATCTCCTGTTACTGTTTATAATAATGCAGGGAAAAGATGCAGTATCAGTTTTCCAAATGTTTATAGCCAAGGGTTTCTTCTTCTTAAGTTACTAAGGTTCCTTATGTTCTGTTCTTGAGTTTATACCTTATAAAGAAATATAGCCTGATGTTTATATCATGGGTTACTTAATATACCTTTGGTTTTTCTTTTGTCTATTTGTGATGACAACTGAGTAATGCCTCTAAATGTTTATTGGAATTCATTAATTAGCAATTAACAATGTAACAAGGTTCTTTTATAAAGTCAGATATAGTACATTAGCACATTTGAAATACATGAAAAGGTGTTAAATGGGCATCAGTTTTGGTGAGAAATGGCTAATTGATTGACTTGTCATACCATATGTTTAAATGTTAAGTACACCTGAAACTCTGTTCTGTGAAAGAAACATAATAAGAGAATTATCCAAGTGTACTTTTCTTTGTTTGACCCAAGTTAAATAATTATGTATCTAAAGCTTAATAAACCTTGGTAAAGATCTAAAAAAAATGTTCCTTTGCTAAAGAATTAATTAACAATGAACAATTTACAAATTTGAAGCATAATTTTTTCATAAAAAAATAATAAATCAATTGCCTAATAAGCCCTGAAACCCAAATCATTTGATGCTATCTTTGTAAATATGTTTAGTCTAGAATTCATTTAAAAATATTGAGTTACATCTAGCCATATTTTGCAATAATTTGTAGCCACTAATTTTACTTTCATACTTTTTTCCATAAATCAAGGTGAACATATAGGTAATTTTTGCAAAGTACATCATTTAAATTATGAAATTATATTTTCTTGACTGTAAAAATGCAAATCAGCTGTGTAACTGTAATGCGGTGCAAGGGGGGGGGGGGGGGGGGATTATTTCTATTGTATCACTTCCTTGAAAAAACATGTAGGTCCTATAGGAAGCTATGTCACTGGTGTTTTACAGAAATTTAATTAAATGGTTTGCTACTGCAAGTTTGACTGTATAAAGAATTCCGAATCATGTTCTAAGTTATTAAGGTACAAAAGACCCAGTCTCCTACGCAGTGATCTCCCCTTATCAGTACAATCTGCCAAGGGATGTAATCACTACCAGGACTTTGCAAAAGACCCATAGTAATGTTTCAATTACTTCCCTTATATGATTTATCATTATGTATTGGCTAGAAAGTCTTTAATCCTTTACTGATAATAGATCAAAATGTAGGATATCAAGTAAGGGATGTGCCAGCTGTTCTTGGTCTGCATTGGCCACTTGGATATATTTAGTTACTGTCCGAAACCCGAAAGTTAAAATGCCATCTGAAACTCGAAAGAAAAACAGCTCAAAAGCATAAAAGCATTAATACCTGATTTTGTCTGAAAATGATGCATTTATTAATATCATACTTGTGTAGTCCATCCAAAACAAAATCATGACTAGACCTTAAATCCCGACAAGGACTTAAGATTCTTTCATGTGAGCCTAAGGAAGCTATCCAGCTACATGTAGCTTACGGAACGTTGGTGGTTCTGCTCAGGTGCAAGTTCTTGCCTGTAATAATGCACGAAAGGGCACCTGGCTGAGGTCTTCCTCCACCAGTAAAGCCAGAACGTCACCATATGATCTATACTGTGTCGGTGTGATGTAAAACCAAATCAAACAAACAAACAAGATCTTAAATCTGTGTTTGTGTGACCGGAAACAAAGAAATATGTAGAAAGATAATAAAAAATAGTGGTATATTGTTCTCAAATTCTGAGAACAAACAAAAACAATGTTTACTATATACACATGTAAAACATATTACTTTTAAATTAAAAGTTTTTTTGTGAGAATGTAATATGAAAAATATTTTTTTTTGTATGATACAAGAAGTTTTTAGATATTCTTAGTATTTTGTTTAACTTTTTGCAGTATAATATTATCAAAAGCCAAAATTTACAATATGTCAATACAATATCTCATTTTTTTTTACATCATATATATTTTTTCCAGCAGATACTCTGTACAGATTTTTTTTCTGTCTGAACTTTATTAAAAGCATATTTTTTTTTTAAATCATCCAATTTCAATCTTTTAGTGGATACATGGAAAATAATGAAAAATAACTTGCTAGAAAGCTTTGAATATTTCTAATAATAAGTATAATGTATTGCCTTGCATACAATTGAAAAATTAATTTATTTTCCCAGCTTTGTCATTGTAGAAGGCAGGATCAAGACTAAAGTGATCTTGATTTGAGCAGCAAAACGACAAAACCAACATGATGGGTTTGCAGCCAGCATGGATCCAGACCAGCCTGCGCATCCGCGCAGTCTGATCAGGAACTATGCTGTTCCTTACCAACCCTATTACAAGTAGAGAAACTGATAGCAAACAGCATGGATCCTGATCAGACTGTGCGGATGCGCAGGCTGGTCTGGATCCATGCTGGTCGCAAATGCACTATGTTGTTTTGTAGCTTAAAAAAACTTTTGTGCAACATTTTATTATTTATGATTTTTTAAACTGTTAATTTACAAGAAAATTAACCTACCTGATAAATATTATCTAGTGATAAAGTTTTGAAATAACATTTATAGACACCCTTGGGTATGAAGTTGTGTTGAAATATTTTTATTATTGCAAATTTGTTATAACATATGAATTGTGCTTTAAGATAATTTTGAATATTTTTTTAAATGTTGGTTTTAACTTTTGAATGTTATTTTAATATTTGAAATGGTTTTTAATGTCAGAATAATAGTTGAAATAATTCCTAACAATTTTCAGAATACAAAACTATTAGACATTCCTCTACTGCTGAATTCCAAAGATCTATGGTATTTTGGTATAATATTATAATAAATCTTTATTTTCATTACAAATTAATATGAATACAGAGCAACATACATTTGTAGTATAAAAAAATTTTCTTTATCCTTCAGATTTTGAAGACATTGCAGAAGAAAGTGTTTAATTCAAGGAAAACCTATCTTTAAGACTGAAGTTGTTGGCGATTTTG